TTAATCCAATCATGCCTAGGCCTTCCAGCCAAACAGCAACCCACCAAGTCGGTATCATGGCCTTTTCTTTACTGGGCCGGCCTTTGGGATGCCGTCTCTTGTTGTATGCTATGTCTCTCCTATTCGAGCACTTAGGCATGGCTATCTTCTTGATAGTTTGTTGACGTCGCGTTTCTATTTTTCTGGTCCCTCGATCGGTCTGTGGGATGCTTTCTAACTATTGTATGCCGGCGGCCGTCGACAGCCTGCTCGGCTCCACGGCCTATTCGCAATAACAGTTAGAACGCGATGATCTGACACGGTCAGACCATCGAACACGCATGCATAGTATACAAATTGCCGTGGTCGTAGCATAGAAGGTAGCAATAGTAGCCCTTGTGCTAACATATATAGGCCTACAAACCTAGTCCCCAAGACGGATTAATAGGTGGATGGAACAAGAAGGTGTGTTCTGCGTAACAAAAAGGCTCTAGGGTAAGGTGAAGCGCAGGCAGCCTAGTACGGATTGACGTGATGATGAGAGCCGGACGCAATAGGGGCTAGGATCCATTACACATGACACGCATGATAAATTGATTTTCAAGTCGTGTAAGACCGCGTTAGGAGATCTTGATTGGTTAGGGGCTATCGACGATTTGGTTTGGTCGGCGCGACATCTGCCCTGTATCCTGTATTCTTGCAGATTTCCAGATTTCCAGATTTCCATGGGCTGAAATGGCGACACTAGCCCGAATGGAAGAACCCCTGCTCAGGTTTCTCCTTTGCAGCTCTATGCGAACAGGCGTAGGATTTGCTCTCAAGATTGAGAATAGTTAAGGGGCGATAAAACGGGATGTACGGAATACATATACATACCTTAGATATGTGTGTATCTACTGTGCCATGGAGATCGTATGGCAATTCTCCCCTTTACATGCCTGGGTACCCAGGTAATAGATATTATTAGCCTTACTAGGTAGGAAGCATCATCGGATGATTTGATGATGGCGGACGTAAGTTTTTGCACGTTTTTGGTGTGCATTAGCATTATTGCTTACCAGGGCACAGCGGATCGACTTTACTGGCCTCATTCCTAAAGACAGATCTGCAGTAACTAATCATATCGAAAGTAGGTAAGTATTGTATGTATGTAGGCCACTTAAATCTGTATATTTTTATAGGTATGTCAACTGACGGGCGGGAAATACTACTGCGTCCTTCGTAGCTGAGTCCAATCGAGCTTATGACTTCTACTCCTTCGGCTTCAAGCGAAACCTTTAGGCGAAACTGAGCCTTCGTTAGCAGTGACTTAACACCCTCAGAAGTATGATTGAGATGTGTCTGGCAATTTACGTATTCCAGGGGTAGTTAACGTTAAGGCAGCGTTAAGGATCCGTTATTAAACAGTAATACAGTAACACAGTAAAGGTCTTTAGGTCGGAGCACGCATAAACACAGTGTGACTCCGGTCCGAATTTACAGGAGCCTATCGCACTCAGTGCTTTCTGAAATCTTCTCACTGTGGCGCCTTAGCACTACGTACAGTTCGGAGTACTGTACGTTTTCAGTATGCGAATTTATTGCACTGTTCCATGTATGTATCGTCTGAATGTATGTACGAATATATCTCTACATAAGGCCTACTAAACAACTAACCTAGGTTAGACCTAACAAAATACAGGCTTGCACCTTGAAGATTGACGTGGATTTTCACCCTATTATCCAAATTATCATGCCCTGGTCGTAATAGCATAATTCCATGATGCTCATTCGACGACACTTGGTAGGTTATCTAGTGCTGCACATTACTGGTTTCCGTCAGCGAAAAGGTGGCCGATAAAACGGCTAACTGCCCTAAAGAATGGCATTACGTGCATACGCCTATCAAATCTCGAACTCCAGGGTTCTAAAAGTTACAATGCATTATGCACACAAAGGCGTGTAAGGCCAGATGGTCTACATCGAAGAGACCGTTACGAAACAAACAAATACTCCACGGCTCACTCGTGACGAAGAAGGTCTTGATTCAGTAGACCCCTTACCTTACGCATGTGCAAGTTTATACAAAGCAAATTGAAACCGCCTACAAGCATCATGGTAGCAAGGAGAGGCTCAAACGACGTTCGATCAAATAAATTTATAGTGCATACATATGTATACCTAGGTTACATGTATCTACCGATATCTACCATGTAAGTTTACCATGTAAGGCTGGTCCCACGAGACAAATAGCCAACCAACAAGTCTTATTAACCCATCCCAAAATACCTAAAATACCTAATACTTGCATCGTAGCTAAACATTGAAATTTCCATATGCATATTTGAGCCTGTTATTAAACTCTATAGTTATCCCGAAAGTCTACCATACGGTAGCACCCGTAAGGAGGCCGTACCGTCCAGTTTCGCGTACACATCCACGGCTGCCTCCCATCTTGAAAATCGTCAGCACCAAGTTCATTGGGCGCTGCGAATAAGCGGTCTGATGTTATTGAGTAGCAATCAGCAGAGCTTGTTTACCGGCTGTCAAACCATGTAGTCCAAAAAGACGGCTTGGGCCTCGCAATCAATAGAAAATCAACAGTCAACAACCAACTGGCCGTCGTTCAGAGCCTTTTGCTAAACATCCAATCGAAGTGAGTTCCGCTAGTACACGTAAAAATATACATACACTTTGATGTTTCTATGTACACCGTTCCCGTACGTACATACGTGGACCCCGGCTACAGATCAAGGAATAAGGTTGAAACCCTACATGTGTAGTGTACATATCATGTATGTATTATGTATGTGTATATATTAGGTACTTCTACAATTTACATGTGTACATAGGAAATTTGCTTGCTGCTTGCGACTTATAAGGTCCTTAGTTGCAAAGAAAAGGTGTGCAAGGTGCAGCAGCAGGCTGTGTATCAGGGAAAGAGCGTGTGCACTGGAGGGAATAAGGACTAGAGGTACAAAAAGCCTGCTGGGGGGCACGCGAGTAAGCTAGGAAAATGTACTTGTACCTGCAAGGCGGCCGTCGCCAACCCTCAAGCTAACCTTAGCAAATTCTCGAATCTCATAGGCTGTCGCGAGCGCGGTACCTTGTCTAGGCTCATCCTGGCCCCGGCCTCTTTCCTGCTGAGGCCCTGGGCCCTGTAACTTAGTATACTTACCACTGTACCTGTGGATTTTATTACTGGTGCTTTTTTTTTTCTCGTTCTTTCGCACGCCGTTTCTACTTTTGCGTGGATGCTCTGACCCGCGCTGGGGCCGATGTCTTAAAAGTACCTGTTAAACCAATCCATCTCTTCCAATCCTTTTTCATCTCCTCCATCCTCCTCCAACTTGAGGCCATCTCCTAACTCTCTCCTTCCTTTCCTCGTCCTCTTTATCCGATCCATTCATTTTCCTCCTCTACGACACTTATCCTTACTATCGTCTCCTTGTCTATTTCAAGGAGGAAAGGAGGAGAGAGAAATCCCGGGCCTTTACGACAGCGCAAGACGAACAGGGTAGAGCCGAGATAATAGCAGAAGAGGGAGAGACGCAAGTCAAATAGATGAAGAGAGAAGCAGAAAAAATTTAGGCTTTTTTGCTTTAGAACTTCGATAATTTTATCCTCTTCAGAAATCCTTCCAGGTAATAACCAATATTTCTGGAATTCGAATTCCTAGGTCTTTTTTTATCTGACCAGGAATCTCTCCCAATTACCACCAAAAACCCTCCCTACCTCAATTTCATCCCGTCCATCAACCCCCCCTTCTTCAATCCGTTAAGGCGGTTCGACTCCCTCTATCCCGTCCCGTTCTCCATTCCTCAACCGAACACCCTTCATCTCCTCCCCCTCCGCTCAATTAGATCGCCCCAAGGAGAGTAGTCTTGTCTAGCTTGCTGGGCAGACACAAGGCAATTCGATTCTCCTAATTCTCCCTCGTGCCAACGGTACAAGGAATCTGACTCTGGCTCATCGCAATTACTCCAGAAGAATATCGGTATTAGACTCCACACCGAGTCTACTACTGATTCGAGGATCTCATCCACCAGCCCTACATGAACCCAGTCGCTCGACTATAATCCATTAGAAGCGTGCAAGTGCAAAGGTACGTTTGAGAAGATTGCATTATATCCCAAAAAGGAAGAGAGCGGAAAAAGAGAGGATTTTTGCGAAAACTCAAAGATTCATATTCTGATATTGGTTCCCTCCCTGCGCAGGTACATACCGACGGTCCACCTACAGTGTTCCAACGGTGTACTCGAACACTCACGCACGCTTCAATCCGCGCTGTCGAGCAGAAAACGCTTGCCCTCGTGGGACTCGTTAACTCGCTGTTCCCACCAAATTCATTCAGGAATCACTTAATTTCCTGTGATTAATCGTGGCGGTAAGGGAGACCCTTCTTCAGCGAAATTATAACACAGACCAACGTCATTTTGTATGCACGTATGCTGCATTAAATACTCCATCGAGGATCAATTGCCTGCCAGACGTTTTGCTGCGTGCCAGGAACAGATCCCCACATCATTGTCCCTCGAATCAGAATGCTTAGTGTTCTGCCCCTGATCGTGTGGTTCCAGAAGACCGTGCCCTGTTCCGCCTGGCCTGGTTTTGGTCCATCATGTCTCTCCTTGTTCTCAATTGGGTCATTGGTTTTTGACGCTAATACTTTTCCACTCCAGAGCCTTTTACTCGACGTCTCTTTTTTAACGGCCGCACCTCCGGCCCTCTTTCACCTCAACATTTCACCGTCTTTCGGCAGCCATTCGGCCATAGTCATTCCTTAATTTTTTTCGTCTTTTACTGCGTACAGTTTCATCACGCTCATTAATATCGTAATAATCGTGTCGTTCGTCCCAGCCGGAATAATACACTCTTTCGACTTCCTCCTGCGACGACCACTCTAATACACTACACTCCTTCCACTGCATCAATCAAGATTCCTGGAGAACCTAATCGTCACTCTTTTAAAGATCACGTCCCAGTATTGAACCTTACCCAGCGATATCAGTCTTACCGCAGTTTACTCAACCAATCTCATCATGGCCTACTCAACCTCAACCGACTGTGGTTTCTTCGTCGAATCCGATGAGCCTCGGCAACCCCGAATCAGCATGAAGGATGCAGCAAAGATGCTTGCCCGAAACAGGCAAGAGATGATTGCCAATGAGCTGTCCCGCTTAGCTGGCGACGAGTATCTCGAGGATGTCATGCAGCACATGAGGCACATGGAGGTTGGTGTTTTAAGATTACTGTCTCCACTCTTTTCCCTATCCAAGTGTCCCGAATAGTACAATGACGGTGGTTGGTATGCATATTATGGCTAACAATTAGAATAGGACGAGACGCTACCGGATGCCAATTTGATTGACATGCAGCGGGAGATCCAATGGTTCATGCGGCCTTACCTGATCGACTTTTTAATCGAGGCTCATGCCGCATTCTCGCTTCTGCCGGAGACCCTGTTTCTGACTGTGAACTTGTTAGATCGGTACTGTTCAAAGCGAGTGGTGTATAAGCAGCATTATCAGTTAGTCGGATGCGCCGCCCTTCTCATCGCTGCCAAGTATGGCGACAAGAAAGATCGGGTACCCCAAATCAATGAGCTGAACAATATGTGTTGTGGTCTTTACGATTCGGGAATGTTCACGCAGATGGAGATGCATGTCCTCAATACGCTCGAGTGGACTATCGGACACCCGACTGTCGACTTCTTTACGCAACTTATCGTCGCCGAGGAAGCCGATGACCGCGAAGTTGAGCACATGGCTGCTTATCTCTGTGAAATTGCATTGTACCACCGAGACTTTGTTTCTACCAAGCCGTCGATCATGGCACGTGCCTCGCTCGCTCTCGCACGTGCGATACTTGGACGACCCGAAGTCAACGACGGCGAGTGGGATCATGTGGAGAACGTTACGGTCCTCGCTCTATCTCAGCACTTGCATCAGCCATCGGTTACGTTGTCAAGGAAATACTCGTCTCACCACCTCTCTCGCGTCTCTGGAAAGCTTGCTGAGTTTCTTGCACAGCAAGCAGCTATTTCCCGTCGAGCGCAAGGCCCACCCTCGCCTCCCGCGGAGCCCACTCTGTCAACGCAACACCCTAGCATATATAGCACTCCTCAAAAAGGACATGGTGCCGCCATTGGTGTCGCGGATGGATATCTAACGCCACCTATCACTCCCGACGGTGTTAACTTTGGTGTTGTCACAGATCCGATGAACAAATATGTCCCACCCAGGTGTCCGGTCACTCCCACACCTCAACCTCCCAGTGCAACCGGGTGTGCTCAGCAGCAGCCCCCCGCGCAGCAGTACTCTAACTACTTATATGAGGAATACAGTGGCCCGATGGTTTCGTGATGGTGGCCATAGCTTGGACAGCATCTCTACGGATTCGAAGTAGATTCACCTTATCAATTCTATCATACGAACAACTCGTTTTGAGACTTATCGCATGGATGTGTATCATTGGAAGAAAAAAGATTGTTGCATAATTGACGGTTTAGGTTCATTTCCATGGCATCAGCGACTTGTTTTTATTTTCAAACTTCTTTTTTTTATTTTCTTTTTTTCTCAGTCATACCCATTGAGCGTGCCATTGTTGCGTCAACCACTTAAGCGAACGATTGTCGACCAAAAAAATCTGATTTCTCCTTCCTGTGAGTTCGGGCGTTTTTTCAATATCGATCCGAGTACAGAAGACGGCGCGCCAAATTGAAGCACCAAAAGCTACGGAGCGTTGAGATGGAGCAATACATAAGACGGGCGAGGCTGGATGTGGAAGAAAAAAAAATAACTGGCAATTTGTGAACAATGGGAGGATGACGAAATTAGGGGCGCATGTGCAGTGGGCGCGAGTACAGGCGAGCAATTCGTCAATTGCTTTCGAAATGTTGAGTGGATTCGACTCTCGCCTCGCGCGGTCGAGGAACTGCGAAAGTAATATTGAGGCATGCCGCACGATACGATACACGGTTCGACTCCCTCACACCGGGAGTATCTTAATTCTTGTGGAGGATGTTTGCTGCGGAATACCCTTGGCACTTGGACGATACCTTAGATGGCTCTTCATTCCCATCGTCGACTTTATGTCACATAGTATGCCTGCCGCGGCCGTAAATAAAACGGAAAAGAGTAAAAAATCTCTACAAAAATTTTGTCACTATCTTTTTTTAGTTTAGTTCTACGTGATTTTGTGTAATATCCTTGGAATATTCTGGCGTCATTTTAAAACCCCCTTTCTGAGACGCCCGAATGGTTAAGTGGTCCGAGCTATCAACTCGAAATGACTGAATAACCGATATCCACCTTTGATTCCTTCGCATAAGCAAAAACCCACCTATTTCCCCCTAGAGGCAATAAACTAATGCAAAGTGGACGGCTTCGTCCCGTAACGAAGCAGCAAAGATAGATTATGATTTACCACGCATAACAATGCAGCATTCGACGCATTGGTTCCTTCTTACCGCCATTTTGGCCAGTCAGGCTCGCCTGTCATAGCCGAATTTAGAAAAAAAGGAACAGTGGGAAAATGGGAACATGTAAATCGCGATTTACCCTTGTCGAATCATCTAAACCAGTAGAATCTCAACTTTAAATCCATCGTCCAGCCTAGGTATCCATCTAACCTTGCAGAAAGTAAGAGGTAAGTCGAGAAGATAGTAGCGAAGCACTCGGAGAGAAGAGAATTTGCTACCACGACGAAGATGACTGCAGACCAGACCAGACCAGAGCTAGATAGATGCGTTTGTCTTGGCTGTGTAGGTAATTAGGCAACCAACCAACGTAGGAAGACAAGGAGGCCCCCAAATGTTAAAATACGAACCCAGCCTCAGCTGGGGATGACGCATCTTACGGCGTACATGCATTACAACTACTACGGCATACATACACAGCAGGTAACTAGCTACCTATCAACCCGCTACCATGGGACAAAAACACGGGCAGAATGTATCATCTCGGTCAGTGGCAGCGAAATCCAGGGCAGAGCAAGGCGTAGTCACCGCTACCGCCACCGCTCCCCTGCTACTGGATGAATACATACGGCGAGTCGTCGGCTCCTCTTCCTCCTCATCCTCCTCCACTTTCCCAACACAGCATAGATCATCGCCTACCATCCTCGAAGGCGGCCGCACAAACCATGTCCTGCTCTACAACGGGTGCTTCAACCCGCCGCACCGCGGACACCTCGCGCAGCTGGTCTACGCGTTCCGGCACGCGGGCCCGGACCTGAACGTCGTAGGTGCCGTGGTCCTCGTGGCCGACGACTTGTATCTTGAGTGGAAGCTTGCTAGGCAGCGCGGCGCGCTGAGGCTTAGGCAGAAGCAGCGGGTTCGGCTTTGGGAGGAGGAGCTTGCGCGGATAGCGGAGGGAGAGCGGTGCTGGGTGCTCTCGGAGACGCTGTGGCCCGGGCACGCGGACAAGCTGGAGCGGCTTTTTGAGAGAGACGGGGTCGATGTTGAGTTTGTGAGACTCGCTGGCGGTGATAAGGTGCGTGTTGCGACGGTGGAGCATGGGTTGTGGGGGTGTCGGACTGTGGTTACGACGGATGTTAGTCGGCCGGTTGATTTCTACTCTGGCAGTGTCGGCGATGTTTCTTTGCCGATGCCACTGAACCGTCATGGCGGATGGAAGAGGGTGGTGGGAGAGAGGCAAGGGGAGGATGGAAGTGGAAGAGATGAAGAAGGGATCGGCAATGAGACGCGCGTTACCGAGTCCACGATTATATCATCGTCTTTAACTTCGACATCCGCCCCACAAACCAGAAGAAACGTATGGACCTGCGACCATGGCCCAAGCGGCAGCCATTACAACGTCCGGTTCATCGCCAGCAGCCACGACGAGCGCGTCGACCCAGACCTAAGCTCGACCAAGATCCGCGCCATCATAGCCGCCGGCAAGAAGCTCGACGTCGGCCAGCTCGAGGAGAAACTACGAGGTATAGCGCTTAGCCCGGGGCTGCTGGCACGGTATATTAAAGAGGCTAGGTAAGGAGGGCACGAGTCATAGGTAAAGACAACGCTAAGGCTGGAGAACGGATGAAGAAATGCGGATAGAGATGAACTAGCACGTAACTAACTGGGACGGCTCAAGGAATATACTATGGTCGGTTGGGTAATAATGGTTCTACATGCATCTGAGATCATAGCACATAGTATACGATACCCCTACGGTAAGAATAAGAAATAAGATGTACCTCCATCGTTGAAGCTCCTAGGCTAGCACATCATGACCATTGAATTTACCTACACCTTTAGCTATACTCGCTAGCCAGTGTTATTTCCAGACAAGTAAACTCTCATCCAAGTTAACCTAGTTATGGCATGAGAACCCTTCTAGTAAGGGTTACTTGATATTAAGCTATGATGAACCTCTTCCTTCTGCCAACCCCTTTCCCGCCTTACAAAGGGCGACCACCAACCCCTACATATAGATCAGGATGAGTTTCCAACATGGTTCTTCCTAATACAGAATAAAAACGTCCAAGTCAAAATAAAGTATTCTGAAGAAACGCAATAATAATCACAGTACTGAACCTTACATTGAAATCGTTGCCTTTTATAATAACAGGTATATACCTAGCAACAGCAAGGGATAAGTCGTTTTCTATTCATTAGCTCCTGACAGTAGTTTCGCCCGACATCCCCTACAGCTTAAGTCTAGCATAGTCGTGATTTAATGAAGCACTGTGCCGGCTCCCAAAAGACGAAGTTCCAACTCCAAAAAAGTTCCAAAAAGGTTCCAAAAAGGACAAGGTGACCGTCTCACCCTCTGATAAATAGTATGATAACCTTCCCCAGTCGTGACGTTTTCAAGTTTTCCGTATTCCTAATATCCCATCTCCCTCATTATTTTCCATCACGGTTTCCTTATGATCACGTTCCCATCTTCCTTTTACCAAATCCACACTGGGCGGATTCGCTGCCACCGCGGATCCACTGACGTTGATAACGTTGATACTGAGGTTGAGGTGACTGAGTTTGAGGTGCTAGTGACGGTAACGGTAGTACTAATGGTGATGGTAGTGGTACCAGGAGGCTCCCCGTGGTTTCTCATATCATCTTGTATCATAGTAGTTGGCCCTTTCTCGCCGTCGGGCTCTGTCCATGCAATCATAGAAGCCAGTGTTGTCATTGAAGGAGAGCGAATCCCGCCGTAGGGAACCGCACCAGGAGGTAATGTAAAACTAGACGTTTGCGTCTCAGTTGCCTCCGGCCTCGACCCCACACCGCCGACGTTGGGATCCGATGTTGTCGGCTGGGCTTCACCGCTGTTAGTTCCAGTCGGCGCCGAATTTGCCTTCGAGCCCGGTGCGGTCAATACAGAGCTCCCCCCAGTATTAGGGCTTGATTGCGTCCCTAAACCTTGCCCGTTAGGTGTGGGACCTCCATTCATCGACGGATTGAAGGTTGGGTTAGACCCTGAACTGGCCGGGTTGCTATTTTCATTACCTCCATTTCCGGCAGATCGCGTGCCTTGTCCTTGGCCTTGTCCTTGCGTGTTAGACCCACCGCCCCCATTCGCCCAGGGGCTTGAAGTAGGGCTGAAGCCCAATGTTGAAGGGGTGCCATTACCAATGCCTCCGTTGCTTGATGTATTTGGAGTAGTCAGCGTATTTGTGGCTGTACTTGGACTTCCCAATCCGCTGTTAGGTGACGTAGCTGGACCTTGGCTTTGGATACCACCGAGGTTGGAGTTTCCATTGCTTGACGAGTTACAGTTTGGATCGGTAGGTCCCGAAGTACACGAATTACCGTTTGAACCGCTATTCGGGCTTGATATGGTCGACTGGCTTTGGCCCCCTAGAGTAGCTCCGCCCCCATTATTTAGTATCGAAGAACTTGGATTATTACTAGTCTGTGGATTGGAATCTACCCCACCGTTACTGTTCGGTGAGGAGCTTGCTTGTGGTATGTGGGGTGTTGCAGAGCCTCCGTTATCCCCGCCTCCGAATGAACGGCAAGCTGGGTCATTCGAACCTTGCGTACAAACTCCAGGTATTCCACCATTGTTTGATGGGTTACTGTTAGGGCTGGGAGAAGCCTGTCCTGGGTTGGAATTGCTTCCTGGTGAGTTGGCTGTAGGGCTAGGAGATGAACTCCCTTGTCCTTCACCCACAGACGTCTGTGCTGGGGTTCCACCATTACTTGGTTGGCGAATAGTTCCCTTAGCCAGGCTAGGCGAGGTTTGACCTTGGTTACTACCACTTCTAAGTGACTCATTTGTAGGAATCGAGTTGGCTGATTCATGGCTTTGGCCAGGTGTTTGTCCGGAGTGGCTATTGTCACTTGATTGACTACTATCAGGACTTGGGGTTGCCGCTCCTTGGCCCTGGCCGTTCGGGCTGGTAGCAGACACGCCGGAATTACTACCAGCAGAAGGTGAAGCCGGAGAGCTGGGATTTTCTCCAGGTGTTACTAAACTGACACCTCCACTTCCGCTGCTAGGAGCTGAACCAAGACCACCGTTTTGGCTTGGCATACTTCCGTTAGAAGGCGAGCCGTGCCCTGATCCCGTGGGGTTCATATCGCCTCCATTATTCGGTGAAGTATTCAAACTAGAGCTAAAAGCTGAACCTCCACTTGTTCCATCGTTTGAGGCTGAATTGGGTCCACCACCCTGACCGAAGCTGCCACTACCAGCTCCGTTAGTTGCTGAGCTAGGGCTTGCCCCTGAGTTTCCATTTGGAGATACTGTTAGGCTATTTCCCGGTGCAGTTGGACTTGGCCCTAAGTCTCCATTCGTGTTTGAAGACGATCCACCACTACCAGGACCTGAAGTGGTTCCGCTATTATTGGGCGGTGAGTTACCGTTACCGCCGTTGCCTCCAGGTGAAGTCGGGCCAGCGTCGGAGCCCCCGCTTGGAAATGATCCTGGTTCTTCTGTACACCGCCCCGAGGTGACGCCACCGCCTCCATTCAGCGGTGTTGCCGAGGTGCCTGGAGTAGAACCTCCGTTCGCACTTGCAGATACCGCCGAATTTGAGCCCATATTATTAGGCAGCTCCCCCTGGGGTTGTCGTGTCTTGTGTCCGAACTGACTAACCAGTTGACTCATATCTGCATCAGGAGGAGGGAATACCACTGCCGGTCCCGTAACCACCGTTTGAGCAACACCGCCCACGTTCATAGATATGACCTCAGGTGGTTTTGCGGTCGCGGGTAAAGGTTGGGGACCCGCACTGGCCCAACCGTGGGCTTGGTTGTCAGAACTGTAACAACTGAGCGCGTTGTTACCACCGCAGGCTTGTTCAGCGTCACCTGTACATGAAACCGAGCATATAGAATCGTCGAGCTTCTGCGTACCATTGAGAAAGTTTCCGCAGTAGCAGCTGTCACCGTTTTCGGTACCCGCCATAAGAAAGCCATGGCCTATGCAGTGCTGAACACACCCTTCGTTGGTCAGAGGACCTAAATTGAGAAGTGGTTCCATGTTGAGCACCCGATTGTCAGCTTGGTCAGCCCAGCAACCACAGTAGCCCCAGCCTGAGGCCTCTCTGGTTATTTTTGGACTGGGAATAGTAGGACTTGGCTCCGTTGGTTGTGTCGGGCTTGATTGAGAGGGGTTCCTAGGTGAGGAAATCGTGGACGATATGGTTCCAGGGCCATTCGTAGCTGGTCCACTTGATCCTGCGCATGTTTCCGAATCTAGAGTTGGCTGGGGGACACAGAACCATCCTCCGTCGCAATGAGCACAAGGCCAACCAAACCCGCAAGGTGCAGACTGTGCCGGGGTCTGAAGAGGCGGACAGAACCAGCCGTCGAGACATTCGTGACAAGTATAACCGGAACCAGGACATGGCCCTCGAGCACCAGGAATCCCAGACAGAGAGGTGGTAGTAGCACCGCTAGCACCGCCAGCATTTGGGCAATGACAAGTCGAAGAAACACATTCGGGGCAAGGCGGGTTAGTTGGGCAAGGCTGACTCGCATAGGCGGCAAGGGTAGGGATTATACCAGCTCTGTACGCTTGTTAGTTACGTATAATTGCCTAATACCTCCAGACAAACTTACAAGAAGATCGTCTCAGTTAATGTTGAATGGCAATCCCCTATTACGGTGACTATCCTATCGGCTAATACAAGTGAGCGTGGATTATTGAAAACCTGAGGAACAGCTATATAACCTACCATGAGTAGCAACTGTCTCGAGAATAATTTCCAGACGTGATAGTACGGGTGTTGTCAACGATAGTCGGGAATTAGTCGTAGTTGGATCGTCCGAAGTAACAGAGTTGATAATCGTATTGGTGATGCTATCGAGACCACTGCTAACTATCTCGGAACGCCTTCTTAGGTTTGATGCTGAACGGCCATCTACAGAGTCCGTAGCGATTTTCTGAACGACACTCTCCACAGCCGAATTTAGGTCTCCGAATAAGCCCGCCACAGTATCTAGAGAACTAGAAGCTCTCTGTTGGCTGGCTTCGACCTGGTAAACCCCCCGTGCAACGTCAGTAGCTATAACTTGTCTCGTGGCTTGTTCCCTCGAATCCGTTATATTGCCGATTTTAGGCGCTGTTAAGGGGACTTCTCTGTCGGGTATACCACTAGGCTTGCCCGTAAGGACTGGAGCCGTAGAACTCGTGGGCTCAGACAATGTAGGAACGGGTAGAACCGGCTGATCCGTCAACAAAATAGGTATCCCTTCAGAAGGACTGATACTCAACGAATTAATCGACGATGTAGAATCGCCTAGGTGAGCGGTTATGTCTATCTCTAAGGCTGTCGTTCCCAGAATAAGGTTCCTGGAGGTTACATTAGAGAAGCCGTCTATATTGATATCACGTTTCCTGTGACGATATTGCCATCTACTATCGTTAGCAAGCAGCTGATTAGATAGGACATCGCTCCCTGTCGATAGGTTGCGATTCTCGAACGTTCGGTTGGCGAAGCTGTGATAGGTAGATGTCACAGCTAGTGAACCAGAGGAAAACACAGTCGTCATGAGCAAGTATCCCGCTATACCTAGAGATAGGGGTAGCATTTGGAATGCGTAGTATCTCATAAGTACTTCAGACAGGCGACGAAAGGATTATGGTTCAAAAGGGGTTATGGTCAAGTCAAGTTCAAAGTTGAGCCAAAACCTAAGACCAAAAAGACCAAAATTGGCAATAGTTGGAGAAAAGGGAGGGTTGGTAGAGCGATGATATGAGTGAGAGTATGAAATGGTATTGGTATGGGTTCAGGAGTTAATCTAGCTAATGTTATACTTACCTGTCGCTACTCCCCTTTCTCTGATATAAGTGCAGTAGGAACAACCTGGATTTAATTAGGGGAGGAATGCCCGAAATATAGGGGAAACGTAGGGGCTTGCTCTACTGCTATTGACAAGTTATTTCCTTACTTGTCATGAGTAGCTGGTCTACGCGGAAGGTATTAGTGGCCTGTCTACTTAATCCAGGACGATCGCGCTATACCTATGTTTACTACGCACCACCAAGAACTACTGCTGGGTAGTTTATGAGGTAGGTAGGTATTTTAAACACTCGCTACGGGGCCTATAGTCAGCGTTAAGTGAATTCTGTAGCTTCACAGTGCACTAAGAATGGATCATAGGTATGAATTGTCAGAATCGAGCTGCCATTTTGCTGCCTTAATCTGATGCCTGCCTACCCGGCACCGATGCAATTAAAAAAACAAGAACGAGTCTACGCCGTATGCCCCGAATTCCGCATTTAGTATCGCTTTCCTTCTCGGAGAGTATCCGCGTACTCCTCCAGCGGGCTTCTGATCAACTTCGTCTCGGTCCACAGGTTGGGCGTTAAGAATCCGTACGAGTTGGAGATAGCGGCGAATGTAGCCTTCAGGGTGTTCTCGAGGGTCTTGGTGGAGCCGGACGACGAGGTGTAAGCGTCCTCGATACCGGCAAGCTGTAGGAGACGCTTGACAGCAGGGGATGCGACGATCTGGGTACCACGAGGGGCGGGGATAAGCTATAAATTGTATTAGTATTAACTTTCTCCTCATTGGCGCATTTTGAACATACTCGGACAGTGACGGAACCGCACTTTCCACTCTCCTTGACGGGCAGAGAGTGAGGAAGACCAAGGTTGGTACCCCAGTAACCACGTCGGACGGGAATGACGCTGAGCTTGGCGATGATGATCGCAGCACGGATAGCAGTAGCGACTTCCTTGGAGGTCTTGATACCAAGACCAACATGACCCTCGGAGTCACCAATGATGACAATGGCCTTGAATCGGGTTCGCTGACCGGCACGGGTCTGCTTCTGTACGGGCTTGATCTAAATTCGGGGAATCCAAGTTAGTGATTTCATTTCGACGCCCTCTTGTTCGTAGGTTTGCTAAAAAGAAAGCCCTGGAAACTTGGTATGTTTTCTGGGTTAAATCGTACCTTCATGACCTCGTCCTTGAGCTTTGGTAGGAAGAAGTCGACGATCTGGTACTCCTTGATGGGGAGGGAGTGTAAGTAGATTTCCTCCATGTTCTTGATCTTGCCAGCTTTCACAAGACGTCCCAACTTAGTGACAGGCATCCATTCTTTCTCGCTATCCTTCGCACCGCCGCGACGGCCTCGACCTCTGCCACGGCCACGGCCACGATCGCCGCCTCGGTCACCTCGAGAACCAAAACCGCCTCCGCGGGCACCGCCTCGGTCAGCCATATCGAATTATTTGTGGGAGTGTTGGCTGTTGGAAGGTCGTCAGTAAGGTAGTGTGCGTAAAGCGAAAACTCCCAATTGAGCTTTTCGTGATGGCGGTTTTGAGGTTAACCGAATTTCGAAATTTAGGAATTTTGCAGTGGAGGGGCCCTAACAATTTTGGAATTTCGTTCTGGGTTTGTGGGAAAATGGGCCCCAGCCGAGGTGGTCAATGCGCGCTATCTACCGACCACCGATAAGATTAGGTACCTAAGTACATATATAGGTACTATGTAAGGTGGCTACCCCCGAGATGTGAAATAATACACCTCATTCGGTTATGTAGTGGATTTCGCACCAAGGTTCCTTCCAGGTATCCTCCATCTACATTTTGACCGTACTAAGATTGCTTCATTTATTTCCACGACAGTCAAGTTACCTGATGACTAATAATGTCTGAATTATATGTATATGTGGCGGCTGGAGAGATAACTTGCCCTTCGGAGATAACTGTGTTAGGTATCCTTTTCTAGTATACCGTAGTCTCTGGCATACACCTAGCTCAAGTCTTAAACCTACCGCGTAGGACTGGGGAAATAATATGAGTTATCAGGATCAAACCTTCCTAATAGCCTAGGTGGATATTGATATGAACTAAGCTATGCAGAGGTGAGTCTCCCTGGGTAAGCTATTAGGCCGCGCTCGTATCGAGAATAACCTATAAGCCTAGATTAGAAACTTGTCGAGATCTTATATCATATATGTAAGAGTTACTAGTTATAACAGTTACCTAGGCAGTCAGGCATAGCACAACGCACATGTCTCGTGCAAATGTCGAATTTCATTGCCGTGATCTAACGTCATGCGCCGATACCGAGCCTGTAATCTAGGCCACGTCGTGATAACCATAAATAACATCGCGGTTGCACCCTTAGGTCCAGATTATATTTACAATAGGCATTTGGATTTTAGTAACCGAAAACATCCCAAGCCTAGCCTGACTATCCCAATAGGAGTAAGTGGAGTAAATAATGCGCAATTCATGCTCAACGTAAACGATGCAGAGGGAGGACGAAGTGCGCAGAGTGTAGTTAAAGGTAATATAAGCACGACGAATTCCCGAGAAGGAGGGTATCTCATTATCATTCTGTCCGCAACACAATCCACAACCCCCCTACTCGTCCTTGCGGATTAATGAGTCCGAAGGATTGACTCGTTGTGCCCACTCACTACTCGCTAATTAGTAACGTGAAAATGGTCAAGAAGTAAAGGGTTCAACTCACGTCCAGCTGCCATCGTAGACCCGCCGAGTCTCAAAGGAACCGTATCCTGCTTCCTCGAGAGCAGTATCGACGACAACTGCTGTTACTCCAGTGCCACATGACGATACGATCGGCTTGGTCGGATCTATCCCCTTCTCCTTAAATAACTTCTGCAGTTGCTCCTTGGGCAAGAATGCCTTGGTCTCGGGGTCAAGAACGGCACTAAAAGGAATATTGATAGAACCCGGCATATGGCCGGACGAGAGACCCTCTCTGGGCTCGGGGTCCTTGCCGGTAAATCTGCCAGCAGGTCTTGCATCGATGATCTGAACCCCTTCGGAGCCTTCCTTATTAGAATCCAGGGCAACCTCCCGCACCTGTTCGAAGCTTGCGACCTGGATTTCGTCTGTCTTGGGAATTGGGTACGGGTTGCATTCCACGCTGTAGAGTTCGCCCGACTCCGTGGGAAGGCCTTGCTCTACCCACAACTTGAAGTTGTTCAGAATATGTACCTTGGGGTGACCGAATACCCTAAGGGTCCATGCTACTCTTGGCGCGCTGAAAATGCCCAGCTCTTTTGAGTCGTAGACAACTACTGTATCGTCCTTTCGAATACCAAGAGAGCTCATTGCTTCTGCGAATGTCTTGGCGCTCGGTAGCATATGGGGATATGGGCTCCGTTTATCGTTGACCTTATCGAGATCAAAGAAGCGGGCCTTTGGTATTCGCTTCTCGATGAAGACGTCAATGCCTTTTCGCTCGTCATTTGGTAAGAACCACGAGGCGCATAAGGGAATAACTCGAGGCTCGGGACTGATAGGTGATGGCGGACTTTTCTTCAGAGCATCTGCCAGCTCAGCGGGGGTCACTAGGTAGGAGGACATGTTCCGGCGAGGTTCTATGAAACCAATTAGGCATCTCTGGAAGCTTCGTCGTGGAGAGAAAGCTCGCGTGGAGCGAAATATTGCAAAGGTCGCCATAGCTAGACCGCTCTTTTATGCGACTTATGCACGTTATGGGTCGATTGTGAACTCTTATATTCAGACGAAGTGATACTCAAGAAAGGTCTTCTGGGCGGGTGAGGTCTGATCGCCGCTTAGAAGTGAGCAATCCAGATCGCCACCACCGCCCGGAGAGATCGTGAGTGACGGTAATTGAATAGAAGAAAAGTGACGCTCAGATGATTGAATAAGCTCCAATTTGTCTTGAAAGCTTTGGAGAAATGATGTATGGTGCGGGGTCTTTTTAGTACCTACAGTTCGTCACTTCCTTTGTTTAACCAAATACCAACGGGGTTAATAATTTCGCGTAACGCAAGAACAAACAGCTTTGCGATGGCGTGAAGTCAAAATCTCGATTCTCCAATTACGAAGTGGCTGCCCGATAAGCAAGGTTTGTACCTGACCAACAGAGGCAACTGCTATCTATAAGATTCAACTGTGGAGTACATCCCACTAGCATCAGGTGTGATGCCGAACAGCCCGACCTATTGCGACTGCAACGAGCTAGATGGTATAATTTTATTAATAACTTAACTACGGTTTATTGCATATCTCGGGCAGCTAATAGATTTTATTGCTGTAATTGTGTTATAAACAGCACATAACAGAATACGACATCACGGAAACGTTTACCACAAACAAGACATCAAGCATCTAAATCAAGCAAACTTCCTCAATGAAGGTCAAAATAAAGCAGTGGAACGCAGTCGCAACGTGGAGATGGGACCTCCCAGAAGATGATGTCTGCGGTATTTGTCAAGTCCATTTCGACGGGACATGTCCTACTTGCAAATATCCCGGCGACGATTGCAGCCTTTGTATGTTACTGCATCACGCGTCTTTACCCATCATATGTAGAGAGAAATTTGGCTAACTTTTCTTAGTATCAGGCAAGTGTGGTCACAATTTTCACATGGTTGGTATTAGGCAGATTCCTTTTTTTTTTTCTTTTTTTTTTTTGGCGAGAATTACAAGTGCTAACACTATAAAAGCATTGTATCATGGAATGGATAAAGCAGGACTCGGCTAAGGGGCAATGCCCGATGTGTCGACAGAGTAAGTTGAATTTTCCCTTTTTTCATAACGAACGGACTCGTAGCTAATATATCATGTTATTCAGAGTTCGAGTGGGAAACAGAAACAGGAGTAGCTCAACAACCAGCCGAAGATGGCGAGCTAGACCTGAACGACGCCTAGTAGTGAGAAGGTCTGGGTACTACTAGACACGTTCCAGTTTCCTATTGTAACTTCGAGGTTTGATAAGAGACTTCTATTCTTAATGTCTTGAGGTTAATGGTCTTCTACTTGCGATGGAGTTGGGAGGTTTATTAATAGTAAGTCGTATCATCGCATATTATTACCTAGCATTACTTGTATTCACCAGGGTCCAAATACTAATTACTCGATATCTAAAGGATCAGGCATCTACATGATTCTACATATGATAATATCAATGTTCTTGCACCTATTTATACTTACCTAGGTTATATGTACCTAGGTACCTTGGCATTGACTTTTCGGCAAGGAATTCCCGTTCTTGCATATGGTGTTTAGGTTTCTTACTGGAGCACACAGCTTCCTTTTCCCCACATAACGATAAGATAGAAGCTACGAATAGCTTAAAGTCTTGAAGCGAACTAAGGCCAGTTGGGTGGATACCTGGTCAAGGCACATGTACCTTGCACGGCTTGCAGCTTGCATGACACCACCTGCGGTCTTCCATCACTAAGGTACCTCTGCTCATTAGCAAAAACCCTTGGGCCCTTCTCGCCTATCACCCTCCAATACATGGACCTTCGGAGCCATGATGCGCCAGCTTCCTCTTCATCACTTCCATCCGGACTTCTTTTCCGCCCCTCTCGAACAAATAGCCCTCTCTATGACTCTCACAGGCCAGCCTTCAAGATGACGGAACCCCCATCAGAACAACCGCCGATGGCGGACACTTACGACGACCAAGATCATGAGCCGCATCCGTTTGCGCCGATATTCACCCTCGTGAATAATGCATCGACGCGTACAACCCATCATCCACATGTGCGCTACATCTTCAGCGACGATGACCCAGACATCCTAACACATGCATTAGCCGAACTTGACATCGGTGTCGACGGAACCGCCTCCGATCCAGCCTCGTCTAATAGGGCTATGGTATTAGACCTAGCACCCGACCCTACAGGAGGATATAGCGTTGCTTGGGCTTCAAGCTTGTCGCCGTCCTGGGCAGTGCTGGATGCGCAACTTAGCCAGGTAGCACCACCTTCGTCCGACGGGGAAAATAATAGGGACAACGGAGGCGGAGATGGTAGCACTCGACCCGATCGCCTTATGTTAAAAATTGATGGCATAGAAAGCAACAGTCTAGGCTCGGAGGGTGGATTGTCTGGAGAGGCAAGCAGACACGGTTCAAGCAGCGGAAGTGGTGGTGCAAGTGGCCAGCATGATCGTGACCGAGGAGAGATCGAAGACTATACCAACTTAGTGGACAAATTTGACAGGCAGATGACCACACTTCGGAAAATCGTCGATGCTAGCGAGGAAAGACAACGGAAGACGACCGCGGATACTTATGCGATAGTGGAGCCCACACAAGAAGTAGCCGGTAGAATTCAGCTGATGGATTGAGAGCCTTGGAAGAAATTAATATTTATCTAACGCGAAGTCCGAATCATGGCCATAAGATTGTCCTTGGGAGGTTTCTTGACTTTATTAGAACGGCGACCAGAATCAAATTTGTATCGCCAACTGAAAGGCTACGGAGAATGATGAACAGGATTACAGAACTGCAGATCGTCGCCTCGATCGGAGGAGTGTTATACGGAGCTTAGGAGCTGAGGTTAGGACGGTGTGGCTTAAGCCTTGCCGCGGGGATTTTTGTCATGAACGGTTCTTGAGTCAGGACATGTACTATTTCTAGCATTATTACGCCTCGTCTGTAGAACAGGTCAGCAAAAGGCTTGCCTGGACGCTGGTATCAGCATGCACCAAACATCTTACCAGAAGCTGCAGCCTAAGGCCGCCCGGTCCGTTGGTTGGGGTTGTGACTGGTATGTATGCTATGTGCCCTATAAGAGTATTATAGTCGCTGAATATCGGTTCACTTTGTCTGTCCTTTCAAATATACTAACCTAGATGCTATCTCGCAACATTGCTAGGGGTTCCCTTCGATATTTTCTCCAGTGCTGTCATAGTCCTTTTAACATTTACCTCTCCCTAAGGTTCTTCCCTATAAAAAGTACCTAGGTACTGTGCTTAGTTTTAGACGAACACCAGGAATCGGAATCGAATATGTTCCGCAGTATATTGCATCTGCTCCGTAACAGTTTACATGGCGTAAATGATGGGGTGATTATATAGTAAGTGAGAGTGGATATGGAGTTTAAGAGTTCTAAAATAAGTCTTAGTATAGCTCTTATTGGTCATCCCATGAGAGGGGGGATTTGGACCTGTATAAGAGTATCATGTATAAACTACATTGTATCTTCACAATTCGTATTCATGTCTTTTTATATGGTTTGTTTACTCTAGAGTCCATCTTTTATATGAAAATTGTCTTTGAGCAACTATACATAACGGGTAAGTAAATTGGTATCACGGCCTCCTACATCTATCTGCAACAGTCAAGTATAACTTAATAAACACCATGATCTGACTTGATTTGCCTCTATTATTTTACATTGATGAGCAACACTTGGTCACCGCAGTAAATACTAGCCCTGAGATCTGTGAATCAACATGCGCGTACGATCAGATCCTCCTTGGCACCCACATTCAATTTCCATCTTTATGTATACGTATGTAATGACAAGGTTCCCATCCCGGGAAGAACCTTAGTCGCCTGTTTGACGATGCGACCCCATCTCCAACCCCTGGCCCTCATAAACCTCAGCCACCCAGCCAACCACCGTTTGTCGTTCGAGACCTGTTTGAAACGCCTATTTGTAACAAAGTCTGCCGCAGATTGCCTACGACTACGCCATTACATACTACTTTTCCCCAAAGCACCAGTCCACGTAGGCTCCCTCTTTCGTATTAACACAATCGATAATAATAACCTTGTCTGTTTGGGCAAAAGAAGATTCCATTGAAATACAGATCACCCTGCCCTTTACTTGCGGGAGAAAAGCTTGGCATTCATTTCTCTTATCCTTCTTTGTTTACTCCCGACTCTATTTCTCTTCGGCTGGCCTGGACCGGTTGATTGTAGTGCTGCGCATTCTACGGCCGCTAAACTTCCCTTCATTTTTTTCTTCTTTTGAGTCTCGTTGTATTTTACGCTATTGGAATTCCTTGCATCTCAATACCTAAGGAAGACTAAGAAAGAAAAGGTCACAATGTTCGGAAAGACACGTATCCCGTCTTACACTCCGTCGGCGAGCGACGTGGTGCGCCGCCAGTACATCGAGGATGAGAATGGTCGTTACGTATGGTTTTGGTATACTCGAGTATGTATTTGAACATTGCCGCTCTGGGAATCTTACTGACACTGTTTCAGACAGGCGTGATTGTTAAATGGTCACTGTTCCTGGGTATCTTGCTCCTACTGATGCTATACCTCATCCTCGGCCGCATGCACGCCAGGAAGCTCATCCGACAAGGCAGGAAACCAATGGCCTACCACGGCGTACGTATAACCTTCTATTGATGCCGTCTCATCGGCCATGGTGTTGACAACCCAAGCTAACGTATCGCAGTGGCTGCTTTCCCGCCAAGAGAGAGGCATCGTCGACCCGCAATATGCTTGGCCACAAGCTTCTTACACAACCTACCCACAGGGACCGGGTTACGGAGCCCCTAACTATGGCATGCACCACATGCCCCCGCCCGTCTACGACCCTAACAACCGACCCCCGATGTATGAGGGGGGCCAGCCGCCGATGGGAAGCACAAAGATCGATCCTATGCAGACTGGTGTAGAACCGATGCGACAACCCGCTGGCGATGATTATGCGCCGCCTCTCGGACCGCCACCATCTGCTGCGCAGAGATAGACAGTTGATCAGGGGCGGATTAAGGACGGACGAGGACACGGGTGGTAATGCTACTTAATGTTGGGATGGGGGAAAGGATTGCATGGAGGACTTGTCTAAATTCATACCCAAGCTTGCAGTACGTAGCAAGAAGCAGAACTAAATACGACGGTTTGTACGATTTGTGTACAGGATAATAATCTCATTGCAGCCTGCCTACGTAGGCACCAAGTGTTGCATAGTAACAGAATATCCAAATGGTGTCGTGAAGTGCGCCGTTATACGCCTGTAGTAAAGAATAATTACCAAGGTCCCTTTGGTATTGCACCTGCCCGCTAGGGTATCTATAAAATTAGCTAAACTCCGTATACGTATTATCATAATCCGTTCAGTCCACCTCCATTGCATCTGGGTCGTCGTCAGGGGGGAGTTGGGCCCCGTTATTGTTCATAAATCCATTCATAGTAGTCGGCGTACTTGGCGCATTAAACGTAGATGGAGCAGGCATAGTAGGTGGGTTCGACGGAGGTGCGGCTTGTTGTTCAAGCTCCTCTTTTTGCTTGTCCCTGGCCCTTTGTCTCGCTTCAATGATGGCTCTCCTCACGCTATCCTGCTCCTCAGGTATAGTTAAGGAGGCGGGCTCTCTGTATAAAACTAATTGCATGCCGGCGATCTCGCCGTCGTTATTGGCCAGTACTAAGGGCGGGATGCGGTTCTGCATGAGATGCTTCTCAATGTCGGGTATAAAGACAAGGCGGCCGTCGGATTCGGACTCGGTGTCTGAGAGCTCATCGTCCAGGTTATAGATGTACACCTTGTGCTTCGAGTCGTCAAGCTGCATGCTATCATTTTCGGGAATCTGGGTCAGCGAGGTGCATTCAGCCGGCCTGAGCTTGGGGCTCTCGACTGGGACGTAGAGCTTCTGGCCATTTTGTTCTATCGAAGGAAATGGTGTTAGTGACGATGCATTGGCTATAATTGGCGGGGGGTAGATATAGAAAACCTAGTTACCGAGATTAAGAAGACTTAGTCTCTTGGATAGTCTTTCATTGTCCTGAGACTCGGCTTTCCTCTTGCGCATCTTTCGCGTTCCTCCGACATTGAGATATTGTTGATTATATTGTTGTTGTAACAAATCGGAGCTGAGTGGTTCGTAGACGTTGACGTTGGGGTTGGGGTTGGAATTGGGGAAGGGAAAATAGTTCCCATTGATGGAAGCGCCTGGAATAGCGGAAGCAGGCGCTGCGGTAGCGGCGAACTGCATAGCTCTAGGATTGGTGTATGGGAAACTGGAAAGCGCAAAGGCGGTCGAGCTAGGCCCTACCTCGACATCCATGGTACTAGCTATCCGACTATTTTCTTTATCTTTTCCACCTTCTTCTTATCAAGTACATATACCCAATTAACTAACAACGGTAGGTCGTGCGCCGGAGTCGCTCGCTTCGAATAGCCGCAAGAATCAACGATAAGGTCTTATGAGCAATTGGTTTAAATATCTAACAATCAATTCGATAGTATTTTTATGATTTTATGATATGGTTCCGAAGTCGCAGGTTGGATTAGGTGCGTAGAGGTCGGTACGTATTGCTATAATTATTTTAGGGGTTCAATTGAAGCTTGGGGGTTTTAAGTTTTTAGGCCGAATGAAAATCCAATGTGGCGGACAGTCGCTGTTTATAGGCGGCGCATTGTTGAGTCACTCTTGTAGAAGATTCTATCCTTTTTCTACGCACCCGGCCGCAAACATTCTTCGGCCGGCTTCTAATTACTCCACAACAACGAACAAATCCGTATCATCGTCTCGCTTACGCTTTTTTCTTTCTCGATCAAACGCATACCGATTCCGATTCTCGACAACAAGAGCATATAAAACCGTCGCCGTCATGGGCGAGCCCAAGTGGACTGGCGTTGGCGTCCGCCAGACTTTCTTCGAATTCTTTGAGAAAAAAGGGCACACTATAGGTACGCAACGCCACAGCATCACCGCATGACGCTTTATCACAACATGCAGATGCATCTAATATATTCCTTCGATATTCCTCTACCAAATCATATACTAAATAATGCTAATTTCCCTCTTTTTGCCCAGTGCCCTCATCGTCTGTTGTGCCTCACAATGACCCCACCTTGCTCTTCACCAATGCGGGCATGAACCAGTTCAAGCCCATATTCCTGGGTACTATTTCTAGTTCGGATGAAATGTCCAAGCTGAAGCGTGCCGTCGATACCCAGAAGTGTATACGCGCTGGCGGGAAGCACAATGTATGATACCTCGCGACTCGGCCCTATCAACGTACTTGATTTTAATAACAGAAACTGCATAGGACCTCGACGAGTGAGTTTGGTGGCGGCTTTACTTGAACTCTATCGAAAATCTATACGTATGCTAATCGGAAATCCAGTGTCGGCAAAGACAGTTATCACCATGTAGGCGCCTACGCCCGTCTTCTATCTGTTTGTGTGGACTGACTTGAATCGTAGACATTCTTTGAGATGTTGGGTAACTGGTCCTTTGGCGATTATTTTAAGAAAGAGGCAATAGGATGGTCGTGGGAGCTTCTCACCGAAGTCTATGGGTTGGACCCCGAAAGACTCTACGTCACCTACTTCGAAGGCAACCCCGCCATGAACCTCGAGCCCGACCTAGAAGCCAAGGAATTGTGGAGATCTGTCGGCGTGCCCGAGGATCATATCCTACCTGGTAACATGAAGGATAATTTCTGGGAGATGGGCGACCAGGGTCCCTGTGGCCCTTGCAGCGAAGTTCACTACGACAAAGTTGGAGGGCGCAATGCTGCACACCTAGTCAACCAAGACGACCCCTTAGTCGTAGAGATCTGGAATAACGTCTTTATCCAATTCGATCGTCAGAAAGATGGCTCGCTCAAGTCTTTACCGGCAAAGCATGTCGACACGGGAATGGGCTTCGAGCGATTAGTATCTGCACTTCAGGACAAGAGCTCCAACTACGCAACCGATATTTTCGCCCCCCTATTTGATAAAATTCAGGAAGTCACGGGGGCACGGCCATACACTGATAAGTACGGTAAAGATGATGCGGATGGCATTGATACTGCGTATCGTGTAGTCGCTGACCACATACGGCTACTTACGTTCGCCATATCAGATGGCGCCGCGCCTAACAATGAGGGAAGGGGCTACGTCGTTCGTCGTGTACTGCGGAGAGGTTCGCGTTATGCTCGAAAGTATTTCAACGCGGAAATTGGCTCGTTCTTCTCCAAAATCCTACCTGCGCTCGTCGACCAGATGGGCGGACAATTCCCAGAGATCATTAAGAAGCAGCAAGACATCAAGGAGATACTAGACGAGGAAGAGGAGGCCTTCGCCAGAACGTTGGACCGCGGAGAGAAGCAGTTTGAAAAGTATGCAGCTCAGGTACTCAACAGCGGGGCGAAGAAGCTCTCCGGGGCGGATGTTTGGAGATTATACGATACTTTCGGGTTCCCAGAAGATCTAACCAAGCTCATGGCTGAGGAGCGGGGTCTCGAAACTAACGAAGGCGAAATCGCTATTGCCAGAGAAAAGGCCCGAGAGGCCAGCAAGGCTGTGAAGGAAGCGGTGCAGACATTTGCAAAGCTGAACGTCCACCAAATCGCCGAATTAAAGGATAAGTTACGAGTACCTGTTCCGGACGATGAGCCTAAGTTTTTCAAGGGCGACACGACTGGGAAAGTTCAGCTTATCTACACAGGCACCGGTTTCATCAAGTCGACTAAGGACCTTCCCCCGAATACCGCCTTCGGTCTTCTACTAGACAGGACCAATTTCTACGCCGAACAAGGTGGTCAGGTCGCCGACACCGGAAGAATTGTTATCGATGATGTCGCGGAGTTCGAAGTTCACGATGTTCAACAGTTTGGAGGATATATAATTCACAACGGATTCTTAAAGTACGGGGAACTTAAGGCCGGGGATGAGGTTATCTGCGAATATGACAAGCTGAGGAGACAACTTATTCGCAATAACCACACCGGCACGCATATTCTTAACCACTCTCTACGAGAAGTACTGGGCGAAGACGTCAATCAGAAAGGCTCGCTAGTCGACCAAGACAAGCTCCGGTTCGACTTCTCGCACAAGACAGCAGTCAGTCTTCCCGAACTCAAGAAGATCGAGCACTTGTCAAACGAGTATATCCGACAAAACTGCAAGATCTACTCTAAGGATGTCGAGCTCGACTTGGCAAAAAAGATCAACGGTGTTCGCGCCGTTTTCGGTGAGACGTATCCAAACCCAGTCCGAGTGGTATCGGTTGGTATCGATGTCGACATGCTACTTGAAGCACCGGAGAACCCCGAGTGGCGAAAGGTTAGTGTCGAATTCTGCGGTGGCACGCACGTCGACCAGACTGGTATCATTAAGGATCTAGTCGTTGTAGAAGAGAGTGGTATTGCTAAAGGTATTCGCCGTGTTGTGGCATACACTGGTGGTGCCGCATACCGTGTGCAACGTGAGGCCGAGAAGTTTTCTAAACGCATCACTACTATTGATGCCCTGCCATTTGGCCCCGAAAAGGAGGCCGAAGTTAAGCAGGCTACAGTAGATCTCAACAACCTCGTCGTATCTGCCCTGACCAAGGAAGATCTGAAAACTCGGTTTGCAAAGGTGGTCAAGGCTGTCGTAGATGAACAGAAGAAGCGGCAGAAGGCCGAGAGCAAGACTGCGCTAGATACCGTATCCGCCCACTTCGCTAAGGACGAGAATAAAGAGGCTCAATACTTTATCGGACACCTGCCCATCTCCGCCAATGCCAAGGCTGTTGCGGACGTCATGAACCACTTCAAGAGCAAGGACAAGGACCGGTCCGTGTACATTTTCGGTGGCAGCAAAACCGAGGGAGCTGTCGTGCATGGTGTATACGTCGGCACAGTAAGTCGAATTCCCTTCCCTCATTTACCCCTGAAGGAGAACGCTACTAATACACATGTCCAGCACCTCACCTCTCAGGGTGTGACTGCTGAGAAGTGGGCTGCAGCCGTGACTGAAGTGGTCGGCGGCAAATCTGGCGGTAAGGAGCCGACACGGCAAGGCCAGGGAACAAATGCGGACAAGATCGAGGATGCCGTCGCCGTCGCAGAGAAGTGGCTCGCAGAGAAGCTGAAGATCTGAAGCATCTAAAGTTCCATCTCACCTACCATATATTGAGCTACATTATATGTAGTTCGACAGACAAAGCTTTAGAAGTGAAGCCGGGGCGGCATAAACGGGTGAAGTCCGGGAACTTCATAATTAGCTATGTGGAAGAAAAAGAAGAAAAGACCGCTTTAAAGAGCGCTAGCTAGGGCTACGATAGGAAACCGCAAGGTTACGTAGAAAATGAGCCTCTATTCGGATTCTGAGTTTTCTCCCTCATAAGTCTTGAGCCATGTGGTAACGAGGATGGGAGAATGCATAAGCTATTATAAGCCTGCATGTGTACAAACATAGAAGACGTTATACCTTAAGCTAGTATAAAGTTATTCATGGAGTTAGTAACATATGATGCTACTTGATCGGGTTGTGATATTTAACGAAGCCGTCATCGTCTAACGTAAACCTTTCAAGTGGCATGGTTGATTCAGCCAGCTATCGGATATGTGGCATATATACACGTACGTGCCACGCTATGCTATGTCACGAGTCATGAACTAACATGACTTGTTCAACGCACTATATCGCGATGCTCCTATTCTCGTGATATGGGACATCTGGCATATCAACTAGGCATCCAGGACAGCGTATCACACCGTGACCATAACACTAGCATTCCGATACCAACTTAACAACGGATTCTCCCCGCTGCGTGTTCTAGTATCCTCCACGTACGCCCACGACCGCATAAATGCCTCGTGCCCCATAACCCGCGTTAGCTTCCCCGTCAAAGCGCGGTACACGGCCTCCATAACGTGGAAATCCGTCGGGAATAATATGTCGAAATACCCCTGGTGCACTAGCGGCGTCGACACGGGAACCATGCGCCGCTGGTACCGCGTCTGTACCACCGGCGCGTTGAGCCCGCGTACTGCGTCGGGTAGGGTGTGGAAATCGCTTGTTACTAGCCGGTGCGCGGGGAATGCGCGCTCTAGAATGTCGAAGAATTGCATTAGGCGTGTGGGGATGTACTCCGGGTCGCTGAGGTTGGGAGCAAGGGGTAGTTGCGTCTTGAGCCAGCGGGCGCCGCGATTCGTGGGGTACGGGACGCGGTATCGGCCTCCTGTGGCGGCGTGCCGTACGCGTAGGAAGCGCGCTGCGACGGGGTCTAGAACCGGCTCGTAAAACTCGTAGAAATCGCCGTGGCCATCGATCAGCACGGTGCCCTGCAGCGGTTCCTCGGTACGCAGGTCGTAGCGCAGGACGTCGTGGGCGAAGTTGTCGAAGACCTCCATAGCTAAGAAAAAACAGGGAGACGGCACACGGGCGTCCCAGTCGAAAATGGATTTGTTGATGATCTCGACTTTTCTGGCGTGTCCGCGGGAAGCAGCTGTGGCGAGGAGTTGCGAGTTTTGGATGGCGGCTAAGGACGGCGAGATCTCGATGATCTTGTACTTGGTGCGGTCGTAGACGGTGGGCTCGATGTCCCGGATGTAGTCGAGGATGTTGAGCATGAGGGTGCCGCGGCCGGCGCCCATCTCGTAGATGATGAGGTCGTGGTAGGGATACGTCGTCATCAGGTAGTTGGATAGGAGGTAGCGGGCTATGGCCTCGCCGTAGTAAGGGCGGAACAGCTCGGTGGGGGTGTGCCAGAGCTGGCGGGTGTCGTCGGGGCGGCCCTCACTTTTATCTAGAGCATCTTCGAATTCTGTATACCTCCGTCCCAGCTCTTCGTGGAAGGCGGGCTCGTCGCGCAAAGAGTTGAAGTCGAAGGGCTCGCCGGGGCTAAAGATCACGACTTGCTTGGAAAAGTAGCCGTAGTGGGGGTTGTATAAGCTGTCCTCTATGAAGTCGCGCATGAGCATCTTAACTTTCCGCGGGCGTTCCCTTCGTGTTCTTAGGTCATTCGCCGTCACCGTGGGATACGTCTTATACTCCTCCGACATATCCTCAGGGAATAACTCCGTCCTTTGTTGCCAATGGCTCTCCTTCTCGGGCAACCCTTTCTTGGTCCCTCTGACGGTACTCCGGCTGGCCATGTGTCGCCTCTGCTGATGCTCGCACCGCTGTATTCTTCGGCCATGGTGGAGGCAAGACGATAATGCAGCGAGATTTCTCCTGGACGGACAGGCTGGATGTCGAAATAGCTGGCGGAAGAGCTGGACCACAATGGGTGAGTCCATGATGTGGACTTTTGAGGTTGGCTGAGGTTCAGGTTTTAGCGCATCGCCGAAGCTTTTTCGGATAGTTGAAGTGGGTCCCACTTTTTAACCTACCCTGTACCGACGTACCTTCCATGCACACTTAAAAACCTTGTACATATATCCGTAAGGTTCCCGACATGGCGTCGCTGACGTATTCAGCCCTCTCAGCCTCTAAACGAGTAGGTTAAGAAGTCACTTGACCAAAAATATAATTATCGTTATCAATTGTGTATAACCAAAAATTATATTACTATACAAGTTAGAATGGGTTTGCTACCATAGAATCGGGACTCAAACGTGGGCTGGTCTGGTTAGATATACGAAGGAGGAAATAAAAATAAGAAATAATAAAAAATGTCTCTAAGCGACCACCCAAAAGCCTATGGCACCGCTGCCGTAGCCGTCGCATTCACTGCCGGAGTCTTCGTCACCCTCGGCTTCAAAGATCTATATCCAGACTTAGAACGGCGATTTCAGCAGCGGGGTACACGGCGGATCCAGCGCGGCGTCGGCGACACCCGCAGATCAAGTCTATTCTGGGGTGGTCCTGTCGAGCTCAAGGATCATGACTTACCAGAAACTGTGGTCCCACGCGACGACGGTGTCAGCGACGGTATTGAGGGGTGCATCGGGCGAACTCCACTAATCCGGATTCACAGCCTCTCCGAAGCCACGGGGCGCACTATCCTAGCCAAGGCCGAGTTCCTCAACGGCGCTGGCAATAGTCCTAAGGATAGGGTTGCGCTTAACATGATCCAAGTCGCTGAGGAGGAAGGATTCTTGAAACCCGGGCGTGGGGATACTATCTATGAGGGTACCGTTGGAAGCACGGGGATTAGCATTGCAGCGCTGGCACGTGCCAAGGGGTACCGCGCGCATATCTGTATGCCAGATGACCAGGCTCGTGAGAAATCAGATCTACTACACCACTTAGGTGCAACAGTCGAGCGCGTTCCCGTGCAGCCTATTACGTCTCCCGAGCACTTCGTGAACTTAGCACGGCGCCGGGCAGCAGATCACACAAACTCCAGCGCCGACTCCAGCGTCGGCTTCTTCGCAGACCAGTTCGAGTCTCCCTCTAACTGGCAAGCGCATTTCAAAACTACCGGCCCAGAGATCTACGCGCAGACTCACGGACACATCGACGCCTGGGTAGCAGGCGCCGGCACAGGAGGCACAATCTCGGGGGTAGCCAAGTACCTAAAAGAAGAAGCCAAGCTCAAAAAGCTAAAGGTAGTGCTAGCAGATCCGCAGGGCAGCGGTCTATACAACAAGATCCGACATGGAGTCATGTACTCGAGCACGGAGAAAGAGGGCACGCGGCGACGACAGCAAGTCGATACGATAGTGGAGGGCGTGGGAATCAACCGGATCACGGAGAACTTCGAGGCCGGGCGGGACCTGGTCGACACGGCGGTGCGGGTGACGGACGAGCAGGCATGCAAGATGGCGCGGTGGTTAGTCGAAAACGACGGGATTTTCTGCGGCAGCAGCAGCGCCGTAAATTGCGTTGCTGCTGTCGTGACGGCGCTCTCGCTTCCTAAAGGCAGCCAAGTCGTCACCGTGCTATGCGATTCCGGAACGAGGCACTTGAGCAAGTTCTGGAAGCAGATCGCGGAAATGGGTCTGGAAGACGAGCCTAAGCCGGATAATCTATTGACTTTACTAGGCATCGAGAAGCCAAAGTGAGGGAGATATATCTAGTTACGGTACCGGCCGATACGGGCCTAGGTTACAAAGTACATGGGATTACTAGCTTTTTGTTGGGCAAATTCCCGATCGATGTCATTGAACTATGGTACAGCAGGTTGCCTAGCATCTAAGCCACTTGGCAAGGGGGAACATATTACGTTAGAAAACAAAGCCAGCCCTCAATCTCGGAACCGCGCTGAGTTGTATAAAGAAAATTTAACGTCTTCCAGCCTGGTCGACAATAGAGTCCTTAACTCCACGCAAGCTCAAACTCAAACGCAACCAATCTCAAAAATAAAACAACCTGGTCGTCGACCGAATCCGAGACGCCTGCCATGAGACACCTGCCATCTATGATGCCACGGCGCGTAATGCTTATGTACCTCATGCAACTCATGCAACTTCATGAGAGACCGTATCCATGCTGCGATTTGGGAAGACCAAACTGGGTAAAGATAGGTAGATAAGCCAAGATGCAGTGATCAGGAGAACTGTACGAAATAAGTTAGTACGCGTATTACTCAGAAAAACAGAAGTAGAAACATAGAAGCTCTAAATTTACCTTCCAACGCTTTCCGCAGTTCATACACTCGCAGAAGGTCGTCATCGGTTCATCAGCGCTGCGAGTCTGAGCCTGCGTGTAACTGACCATCTTCTTCTTACAGTTACTACACTCAAGACTGTCGCTAATACTCTTCTCGACCATGGGGACCTGGGCCTTCTTCATGTTTTCGAGCTCGAGCTCGGCCTCGGCCTTGCGTTGGTGAGCAGACATGAGCTCCTTGGAAGTCATGACGACGAAGCGCTCGGCGGCAATGGCGCCCGACATGACGTTGCGGCCCAGTTCGGCATTGGTCTTGACCTTGAGGTTCTGGAATAAAGACCTTATCTTTTCCTTATACTCCTTGGTCTCGCCCTTGTAGGCCTTAAAGGCGGCGTGCTCGACCTCGACGGCGCGTATGATGACGTTGTCCTCAGACTCGCGCGAGCGATACGCGAGGCCATTGTAGAGAAGCCCGATACAGTTGTCGCGGACCTGAGAGCCGGTGCGGTTGATATCGACCTTGTCCGTCTTGTAGTTGCGCTTCTCTGAATCACCCTCGTAGGCCTTCTTGTTTCCCGCGAGGGGCTTCGGGGCAGGCGAAGCAGCCTTGGATGCGGGAGACACGGAACCCTTTGGTGCTTTGGCGGAATGCAGGCCTTTGGATTTCTTCTCTAACTCAATGCCTTTCTTCCATTTCGCAACCACTTCCGTCGCAATCTTGGCGATGTCCTTGTTCGCATTTCCTCGAAGCTTTCCTACGACAATACCCGCCTTCGTAGTCTAGTAAATGTTAGTATTGGCGCAACCAGACGAGACGGATCAAATAATAAATGGTAGCGGAGAGAATGGAGGAGCAAGATAGAGTAATGGAACGAATAGCTGTATGACTTACGCGCAGCATTTCTTCAGTCGGCGAAGCAGATCTTAGGGATTCGATAATGCTGATGATAGCAGAAGGGGGCTCATTGGACTGAGCGGCCTTGTGGAGGGCCTTGACGCGCGCATCGAGTTCTCTCTGATCCATGATAGGCAATTTCGTTGATTTCTGCGTATCGGCAATATTGTAGAAAATGCGTAAGAATCGGCGGTGATGACAAAGTATTCGCAGTCGAAATCGGCAACGGGGTGGGGAAAGGGTAGAGGTGCAGCAAGAGGCCAATGCGGTTTAAGTAGCTATCAAAATCGGTTGGCGCAGTAGATCCCGTTGGTGTGTGACGTATATGTGAGTAACTTTCTGCCAAACGCTTGGAAGTTTGTAGTGAGCGACCTGAAAAGGTCAAACGAACAGGGCTCCGGAAATGAAAATGAAAATGTCAAGAATGAAGCTTCTTCAAAAGCCGTTTACGGGTCTCCTTGGGCAGCCGCAACCACCTGCACCGATAGAGTCTGGTCTGTGCACAGACCACTACTATATAGTATTCTACCAGCGCTTAGCCGGTCCAGTCGTAAGGTTTAGCCTTATCGATATGTTTCTTATCTCCGAGTTAGCTTTTAGTATCACTTCAATTGTGTCACCTCAATTGCTTCAGCAGGTGCTTCCTTTCCTCCCTACGTCAAGATTACTTCAGCTTAAATACCTATAATTGCAAATAATCTAATATATATTACATGCGTGTTATCCGAACCAAATCTAGAAGCTGATCATGCGTTCGATTTGGGTTTATTATATAATTATACGTACCGATCTTTGTATCAACATCTATATTTCCTTCTATCTTCTAATGCTTCAATAACCGCCAGCGTTCAGTGGGAAACAACTATTTTGCTGCACGAAGAACTATAAACCTTGAATTTAACCCCTGAAAGACCAATTTTCTACATAGTGTGAACGAAGAGGTAAGGTTACCTATCAAAGAACTAACTAATGAAAAGCAATCGTAAAACTATGGAGCACCCCCCCTATTTTCGATATCGGACATGTCAAATCACAAGGTGATACAAAATATATGAAGATATAGAAGCAATTTTTAATTGACGTCTGCCCTCTCAAATAAGGGTAGCAACATAACTAGCTAAATGTCGGTAAGCTCCTCTCTGAAGATCCTCTCTGAAGAGTCTATCAAATTCCTAGGGTCATCAAATTTTGGTATATGCAAAGTCCCTTAACTAGTCCAAATCACTTTACTATTCCAGAGGATAGCCCTCACGATCTAAGTTGATCAGTCCCCTCGATCAAACCAGGGGGTTCCAAGAGCTTCAAGACAGAAAGCAGTACACAGAATACTGCGGCTAACAGCCAAATATATCCGGGTACTCAAACTCGGCGCCTCCAGCAGTAGCGCTGTCCTCCCCGAACATCTCATTACCAGTTATTTGGTAATCAAGATCGCTGCCGTGGTTATCCAAGAAGTCCTGGATCATGTCGATTTCCTCAGAGTCTTTAGGAGCTTGGGGGGCTTGGGGGGCTTGGGGGGCTTTGAGATCAAACTTGGATTGATCAGCCGTAGTCGAAGTAACCAAACCAGCATCCTGGTGGGTAAGATTCTGATTGACCTGAGAGTCATTTCCAGCGTCAACTCCAAGGTCAAGTGTGAAGCTGTCCATCGGAGCGTGGTTTTGGTCGTAGCTCAATCCGACCTCGTCGGAGAAGAAGTTGCTGGTAATGTCGTCCAGATAACTGTCCCAAGAGGGCTCCAGTTCCGGAACCGACTCAACCGGCGCGCTTAGGTTTCCGTTGCCGTTCGCCAAAGTAAAGTTCTCCTTCGTATCAGTCTTACGCCTCTTCGAAGCTGGTTCGTTTGCCATCGGCTTGTATTCCTGTGCTCCGGTGTGCCCCATATTTCCAGCCGGAATGCCCACACTCGCTTCATCATTGGGCCGGGGTCGCTTGAGAGGAGTACCATGCGTGGCAGCTTCTGATGCCCGCGATGCTGAGTTCTGTCCCATCGACGGCATCAGCATGACCCTACCAGCCGTCGGAACTGGCTGTCTCGAAACAAGCCGGGTAGTCTGAGGTATGAATTCCTCCCTGCTTGCTCGGCTAACAGGCTGATACCTGTTCGGAGTCGTCATCTGACTCACTTGCCCGCGAACCGGTCGGGATAATGTCCCCATATTCATGGCTGTAGATATGTTCTGTCCTGCAGAGGTATGCTGTTGGGTCATACCTAAGGACTTCCTCTGCAACATGATTTGGTTCTGGAAGTTCCTCGCTGCTGTATTCAGTGCAGCATTGCGATTTCCCAATGTCGTAGCGCCGTTATCATTTGTTCTGATACCATCAGCAGCGCCCGGTCTCGTTTTCGGCGACATAGCTGCTTCCTGTCCAGTGTTGATCGTAGACCAAATGCCCTTTGGGGCCGAGGAAGCAGGAATGTTGCGCATTCCCGTGCTTTGCTGAACTCCCTCACGTATGCCGGCCCGTAGAGGTACTGATGGGGTGGTTACAGGATGAGGGCTTTGCTGCTGAAGTAATGGACCAAACTGTAACGGACGACGGTGAGTGATTGGAGTAGGAAGTGCAGTGGGTGTGGCAATGGGTGTTCCATGGATACCGGTAGCTGATTCTGAGCCCTGATACAATTTCGTTCCCATAGGAATAGCGGCCGGATTCGGATACGGAGTTACAGGTGTCGGCAGGTTTGCGGGCGAAGCATCGCTAGGACCAGCCGGCTCCTTGCTCACTTCCAAAAATCCCTTTCCACTGCAATGGGGGCAGAGAATGCATTTGCTCTTTCCATTTTGTGTAGCAGTTCGTGTCGGCTCTGAGGAATTGTTCATGACCTTGGAGATACGGTCATTCGTAGGGTCGTGGTAGATGATCCTTCCCTTCGGGTTGCTAAAATTATAAGTCAATTATTTTATAGTCTTTAGCTTACGCCCGCGTCGTTTATAACTTACCCAAACTCCGTACTGCTGCCGAAGTGATCGGTGATGTACTTGATCTGGGCATATTTGACGGGGCTCTCGAAATTAGGGAATTTCTGACCAAACAGCTCAGCCGTCTCTTCGTATAGCGCCCTCTTTTTTCCTCGGGGAATTGGTTCCGTCGGAACTGTCCTCTCGAGGACGAATTCAATCATCTCATCAGTATATCTGTAGCTCGTCATGGTGCCTACAGGTTGCTCTGAAATTTTGTGTTAACCATGGATGAAATGTGAAATAGATTTTTTTTATTGCCGGATAAGATGTCTAGTTGAGATGACAAACATACCTTGATTGAAGAATAAATTTTGGTGTGGTCTGACTTAATCAGAAGAGACTCGAGTTGGGAATAGCAATCAACAATTTTGAGGTTTGTCTAGTAAGTGACTTCCGCCGGTACTTGCCCCTCTGTGGTGAAAAATAGAGGAACGAAAAGCGAAAACTCCTTGATTTTCTACTTCTTTAAATAATAATCAATTTGTCTCCTCGGGTATGGTTTAGTATATTCGAGGTTGCTTGTCGAGGGTATTTGTCGAGCTGATAGTAGGTATGCAGATTCAATTGATAATCTGACTGGACAGGATCGGATGAATATTCCTAGTGGGGAAATAAGAAAACAAAAGCTGAATGAATAATGGGCAATTTTAGAGGTAATTGTCGTAGGTTGAAAAGCGGTGACAATTTTCCAAATTGGCGAGACCACGAGCCGAACTTTGAAGAATAGATGTATTTTCAACGCAGATTGTATTGTGAATACGTAGAAAATAGAGGGGAAATAGGTAGGATTTCCTTTAGAAGTGTGAATGCGAATTTGAATTGTGCGCAAGTGGTTGGTGGGTTGGTAGTTGCGAAGATTTTAAGAAATCGAGTGCACGAGTACCTTAGGAAGCATTGAGCCCTCGTACCTGACGACGTTCAAACAATGTCACAAGTCGAGATAGCGGAAATTTACAGACCTGCCGCCCCGTAGCTAAATTATTAAATTCCAAGCATTTTGGAAATATGGCTATATCTATTATGCTACAAATCTCCATGACCCTATTTCTATAATATAAAGACAGGCTATTTAAATTGTATTTTCTATTCTCTATCAGTAGTTAAGTATCTATGCTATAAGAATAATTAGTATTTTATTATAATACAAAAATCAATAACAGAAAAATGTCACTTAATATAAACATATATGCTGCTGTGTTTAGCAAAGTCATAACCTTGCGATGCTTGTAGTAGCAAGAGTTTACGTAACCAACTATTAGAGGCAGCAGTAAACGAATCAAAATAAGAACTGAGTGAATGTAACAGCTAGTATACCTAGCGCATAATTACTATAGGGGGTAACCCTTCACGAATACAAAGCAGCTATCCGTATAAAAGATACCAGGTAGGTAAGGGGTCATAACGAGTGAATGCGTTATTACGCCAACTAACTACCGGTATCCAGGATACTTTCCTCAAGACGTAACGCCTTTAAAACTCTTGCAGTCACAGATAGTTGTAGATGATAGATGTTTATAAGATGAAGTGACTGGATATTATTTCTTCGATCTCTCGCTTAAATTATGTTTTCTAATTTGGGGGGGGGGATAGGTAGTAAGAATTATGTAATCTCTGAAATATTAACCTGTTAGATATTTACGAGGAGGTTATTAAAAGTAATAGGCAACCTAGATGTCTAATTAGACAATATCGTAGCTATCATTCAAGCTTGAGGCCCTTTTGGGGGGTTATATTAGCCCACGTGACTTTGTCATATCCAATAGGATAAGTGGGTTAGGGGTAGATTCAGGGGCAGATCTACTGTAATAGGCTCGTAGCGCCTCTAAAGGGGATAGAAAGGTAGATATTAATAGTTCAATCTCGATATCTACCCTATGCATGACTTTCATCAAGAGTATTATATCTAACAGGAATATATTATAAGCTAATTCCATTTAAACTTTTGTCGGCATGTTGAACTAAGTTGAGAAAAGACCATGATCCCGATTGGAGGCGGGAGTAAATGGAGTAAGTAGAGAAAGCGAGAAAAAGGTAGAAAGTACACTTTGTAGAGTAATCCGAGTATAAGTTAAATTGGCCCCGAGTCCCAATAAACCAATCATAAGTATATTATCAGAAGCAGGCAGAATGAGCCCCTGGATATCCTAAGATAAAATAGATAACAATAATTCACCCTAGCTGGCTCAAAAGTTCTTAGTCGTACAAAATGTATGGGGGCAAATCTAAGTCTATAACTTTGCATTGATAATTTCCGGATCTCTCCGTATATCCTTCACCTCCTTAAAATCCGTAGTCTGACCAACCCTCCAGCTAATCCCTGTCGCCGTGGCACCGCTCTCCTCTTTCCATCGCCACCGCGCGCTATCTCGACGTCCTTTCTCCATTACGTCCTTCACCCACTTCCCAATAATTGGCAACATCTTGAACACATGAGCTGAATCCCCTGTAATCACGACCAATCCCTTCTTCCCCGGCACAAAGTCGATCACATACTCGCCATCCGCCGTGTCCGCACACCAACACATCCGTCTTCCGATCAACGGCCTGTCCGCTAGCTCAGGCAATGTTTCTCGTGCATACGTCACGGAGATGTTGTGCAGCCGCGCAGCTTCCTCGGGAGTAAGCTGTATATGGGCTAGAGGCGAGGCTTTGACGACCATCTGTCTCTGAATCTGAGGCAAGATCGAGCCAAGCGATGCTCTTAGTGCGAGGACCGTCACGGAGGCGCTGTGGTGCTCGCCGTCGGCGGTGATCGCACCTGTGTAGATATCCCCTGAGTATGTTAGGGCTTGGACCGCCGAGTTAAGGTGGATTTTCACGCCTAGCGCGATACATGCCTAGTATACAGCTGTTAAGGAGTCAGCTGCAGAGGCATATCCAGCGAAATTATTAAAGTAACCCTTCCATTGCATGGGGCCGCTGAAGGCAGGGGCAACTTTGCGGATGTCGTCCCGCGAGGTGACAGATATGATTTTATTCTTAAATGCTAGATGCTAACTAATGGAGTCAAGTGCCTTCTAGAGTGACTTCTTCGACTTCTCAGGGGCAGCAGCCGAATTGCAGAGCAGGTAGCCTGTCTCATGATAGTGCGGCGCAAACAGGGGAGATTTCCAGGCAGCCATGGCCTCAAGGGCTAGCTCGGCGTAGAAGGGGTCTTCATACTCGGCACGTAAATATCTTATTCAGGTCATTACCAGCAGAGAGCTCTGGAAGGAAGGTGGCAGATTTCTCGAGTATAGTTATATTGGTGTAACCAGCGTTAGCGAGATGATAGGCTGTTGACAGACCGAAAGTGTCGGCACCTAGTATGAGAATTGAGGTTTGCTTATCCATCTCCATAATTGGTAGCGTTATTCAAGTATCGATATGAACCCAAAGGAAATCTTTGGGAATTCATATTGAAACATTCCTTTCTTTTACTCTCATTTCGTCGATGAGGAGCAATCTATAACTGTCTTCCATCGGAGCGGGTTTGGGAGACCTTCTGATGACCTTGGTCATTTTTACGTATAGTCTGTTATCTAATGGGTTTCCTACACATCCTGGGATTTTGATGTCAAGAAGTCGACTGTCAAGAAGGGCTAATTCAATGTTTCATCATTCGACACTTGCGATTGATATATAGAATAGAGGAAACGGCAAGCGATGTGCATATGCCAAGATATGATATCGTGGGGAAGTAGAGAGACTTATATTAATTGGAGAAAATGGAGACCCAGTGCGACGAGCTGGAGTTACACCAGGACTACCAGGTTGGGGTAAGGAAATGCCGAATGCTAGGGTTCCGTGTAACCTTTAGGTACACAAGAATGATAACCGATATTAGTTATCGCCGTTATCTTCACCTTAGCACTTCCACATATCCACTGTACAGTCGGGGTCGAGGCGCGAGTGGAGTAGCGTTGATGGATTGCACTGACTTTACGACTCCTCTCCTAAGTCCTAACAGATGGCTTGGGTCCCGTCATTGTGAGATACCCGCAAACCTAAAGTCTGCAGCAAGGCGACGGCGATCTATGCATCATAATAGCCTACTGCAATCAATTTCACATAGCTGCCACTATTAGCCCCTATCTATATTATATCTATATTAGAGGAGAATGGCGTCCCGTACGAAGAAAGAGCTGCGAACACGGAGCGGCTGCCGGAAGTGCCGAGGTGAGAGATACCATCCTCTTCAATGTTCCTATAGTCAGAAACCCCTGACATGTTGCTTTAGAGCGGCGGGTTAAGTGCCCAGAGCAGCGCCCTATATGTGGACACTGTAGAAGACTGGGTTTCGCTTGCCGGTACGAGGTCAAATTAAGCTGGCAACATGTCATCTTATCTAAGGAGTACGACGGCTATGTTCCACGGGGACTACCTGAAGACCTCATGTTCTCTATTGAAAGTTGGATGTTCCTGAATATAGTTCAGGCTGACTTCAATTCACACAATGCTCAAACAGGCTTCAAGGACGAAGTAGATTTCCCTTCTACCCGGGTTACAGACATCCAACCCGAGGTAAACATACTTGCACCATACCCTCACTGCCTTTCTCCATTTCGTATGGGAGAAGCCGAGGGTTATCTCTGGAGTTACTTCAACGACTGTATGACTCCACAGATCGTCATAGACCCCAGCTTTAACCCGTATAGAGATATTATTTTAAGGATGGCAACTTGTTCCCGAAATGGGCCTCTATTCCATTGCGTGTTAGCTGCCGCTGCAAATCAGTTGCAGAGTACCGGCCGCAACGAATATGAAAATGTCATGTGGCTTCACAGAGCCAAGGCACTACGCCTCCTGAGGACCTCTGTTAGTCACTTAGTTTTAGAAGAAGCGTACGAAATGAGTTGTGATACTTCTAAAGACCAGATCATTGCATCGACTATCATGCTAACCTTCTTCGAAGTAAGTGAGAAATGTAACGAAAAGTTATAATAATAATTATATGATGCTAATTCATTGGAGAAGATTTCAAAGGACTGCTCGGATTCATGGACGGTGCATGCCGACTTTGCGCGTAGTTTTCTGTCCTCTCGTCTGAAAGACTGTGGTAGTCTGAATACAGAGCAGGAGGCCCTACTCTATTTTGCTGTGACCTACTTCGTATCGCACGATATCTTAGCGGCAACTGGGGGCACACTTATGGAAGCGACTGAAATGGTTACTGGAATGTGCAAATCGGTGGATAAGTCAACTGTCCTAGCACTAACCGGTTGTTCAAGAGACCTGCTCATCCTAATTTCTGAAATTAACCAGATGAGTTCTCTAGTCGGAGAGTCAGATTGGAAGCAACTTCCATCCTTGATACAACAACGTCGGGACAACGTCGAGAGGCTTCTTCACCAATTGCACCAAGATGTCCCTGAAGAATTCGGATCATTTCAATCCGAGCTTGCTATCGTTGCTGAGGTAAAGCGACTGGCGGCTATCTTATATCTCTATTCGAGAATCGATGGCGCTGGGCCGCACGAACCACACATGGTCCGAGTGACCTCCCAGATTCTATCTCTTATCCCTAAAATTTCCCTCCGCACCCATACGGGTCTTTGGCCTCTATTCATGGTAGCTACATTAGGCATCCGCCCGGAATGCGATGAAGACAGGAAGCTGCTCCTGGGTCAACTCGCTGCGCTTCAACAAACGAGGCAACTGGCGAGCGTGAAGAAAGCCAGATTGATCATCGAAGACGTATGGAAATCTCGAGACCTACGGCCCAATGAATCCCAAGGGTGGAGTATTTTACAAGGGAGGAGACATGGTGCTATCAGCTTGGCATAATTTATTGCTGTGTATAGGTAACCACCTAGTACAAAAGAGCACACTTACACAAACCCAGAATTCGACGAGCCGTTTCATTACCAACATGTCCCGACCTCAACTCGATACCACCAGCGAAATCTAGGTGGTGTAACGGAATTCGCGCTGTTTCTTATCTGTGATATCGACGAAGCCCTCATTGGTACCTTCGTGAACCCCCTCTGGCTTGCCATACTTACGGTCTCTGCGCTTGTTCTCCCAAGACCCTACAAGCCAATATACCATAAGAATCAGTATGCAGGCGCAGTAGCTAACTAGCATGGCTATTACGCTGGTAGCGTACTTGGGCGCTTCGTTGCTTCTGAAGGTCTGGGGACCAATGAGATTTCCTGCAGCATATCCTATCGTCGCAAGACTATACGTAACCGCCTTTTTAGTCACTAGGATTTCGCATGTTAGCGTTTAACTATGAGTTTTGAGATCTATCCGCGTCGGGATTCGGTTACTGGATTTGGGGGTCATCACTTACTACCAGCGGTGTTTGCTTGAATAAGGGATATAGCAACAACATAGGGCGCTATAATTACCAGTAAGTATGACCCACAGGGACGCATCAAGTACGAAACTTACGCCAGTAGAAATACATAAAGTATAGTCCCACCATTTGACCGGGGACATTTGTTCGGGGCAATCCATATGCCAAGGCTGTTCCGAAAATGGGGAGTAGCAAAGCCAGAGCCGCAGTCAGGGCCCGCCGGTTATGCCACTTTGCAGCGATATATGAGAAACACCAAGAACCGCCCGTAGCTAAGACGCCGAATGGCATTGTCAAGAGACTGGATACTAAGGGGCTGTAACCCAAGTTGTTAATGATGATCGATCCGAAGGCTTGGAGGCCGCCATTAGGGATGTTGATAACAATATTAAACAAGACAATGAGCCAAACTTTAACATCCATAAGGGCTTCCCAAACCTGCTCCCACTTCCATACCCTGTTAGCGATGCCGGTCCGGTTCGCAGCCAGCCGTTGTGTGGCGTGGTATCTTTGCTCCGGAGTAAGGAAAAAGGCATTCATGGGACTCTCAGGTAGGACAAACCACAAGAAGATCGAATATATTACGTTGATGGAGCCGGTGAGAAGATAAAGGTACTGCCATTTACGTAACGGGGCATCCTCGGGGATATACCCTATAACCCAAGCGAAGAAGCCGTTGAATATTGACGAGAAGTATGCGAAGATGACTAAAGAGTTAGAAACACTGGCTGTTTTAGAGGGGCTTGATACTTACTTCCGTTCCTTGGAGGCTGCTCCTCCTTTTTATAGAAAGACGCGACGAGTATCGTGAAGCAAGGAACCGAGACTGCTTCGAGGAATCCCAATAAGAAGCGCAAACCCATAAACCCAGACCACGTTCTGCATGGCGCATACATGAGGGTGCAGATGGACCACAGTAGGGAACCAATTGCTAGCAATTTTCCTGGAGGAAATCGCTGGATCAGATAGGAGGTTACTAGTAAGCCAACTAGTATACCTAATGGTAGAATACTACCCAACCAGCTGTATTGCTGGCCTACCATGCCATTGTCCTTTTGAAATCCATATAGGGAAGCTGTTCCTATTTCCACTTTATCGACGGCAGATAGGGTCGCACAGAATAATAGCTATAGGGAATAACGTCAACGTGAAATTCTACTAGAACATTGATCTCAAGGAGTACTTGTAAGGGATTTCTCATCGAATAGGACATACTAAAGGAATCATCCAAGCATCAATCTTTTTCACAATCTTTTTCTCCTGTTCAGGAGTCATAAGCCCGAATTCTTCATGATTGGCTAGATACTTTGCTGCCTCATCCAAAGCTCGGTCGTCGACTGTCTTTGTGGTCTCGCCGACCACGACTGAAGTGACCGGCTGGATAGACTCGTCCCTCTTAAAGCCTAGAGACATGATGTCGAACGATAAGTAGAGTTGGGATAATCAATGCTGCTGGGACGATTTTCAAAAGCTGTAGATCTAATGCATATCCACTCCAAAAAAAATCCGATTCATTCCTAAGGCTTTATAGATGAGCTGAGCCTACGACTCCTCTCGATAATATTTGGAGCTTATCAGTCTAGGATTGGTGTCGCCAAACCCCAGATAGGCTCCGGGCTGTTGCTTTTATCAGCTATCGAGAATCTTCAGTACGAAAAGGACCTCCCCTGACCTACCTGTGTTCGTCAGGATGAGCTAACTCACGCCTAGCCCATCTAATCCAAAAGGATATTGCTATGCTACCTTAAAATCAACCTAGCTTTGTTCCAATACACCACCAAGATATTATCAATGGGGTTAACTATTTCGGGAGAACCCGTCAAAGATGATTGGTTCAAACCGTAGCGGAAGTGACCTGTCATTCGGACTAAAAATCCGGGAGGAAGCTCGAAACGACGAGCGTCTGCCTCCGAAGCCTAGTGTCGACTATTTGGGCCGCACTGTGTTTACAATCGTGGGGGAACCATTTGTTGGATTGGAATAAGATCCACTCAACTACTTGGAGATCAAGGAGTTGATATTGGAGATGGTTGATAATTGCAAAGTAACTGATCGATATTCCCCAAAGTTATAATAATGCGTAGTCCAGCTAGAAGCCGTCAGCTGATATGCCGAAAACTCGACGGCAATTCGAAACGACGATACAAGTTATTGGAATCTTGTCACCGGACGTCAACTCGCTTCCGGTGCCGGACCATATTCGATTCTTCATCGTGATGGTGTAGTCATATATCAATTCGCGCTCCCTTGAGCTTACCAGCATCCATACATTCGTTATACGGGGTCATCTACCAATCTCATATATACCCCTGGCCAAAATGGCCGTCGAATCGGTCTCTACGGCAGCACAGCCAAAAAGCGTGAAATTCGCTATCGGTTAGTTACACGACATATCTATGTCTCTTTTAAGAGTTATAGCTAACTTCCCTCGTAAGACCGAGGTGGTACATTCACAGATGTCTTCGCTGCTGTACCGGGGCGGGAAGACATAGTCCTTAAGCTTTTATCCGTCGATCCTAGTAGTTACGATGATGCGCCAGCAGAAGGTATTCGCCGGGTCCTAGAGACTATCTCCGACAAGTCGATTCCCAGAGGGGCTCCAATTCCCAAAGACCTGATCCATTCTATTCGAATGGGAACAACGGTCGCTACAAATGGTGAGTCCCTAGACCATTTTATCCAGGTCTGAAATACTCATTTTCTATAGCGTTGTTGGAACGGAAAGGAACAAGACATGCATTCGTTGTCAATCAAGGCTTCGGCGACTTATTAGAAATTGGGTACCAGTCGAGACCAAAGTTGTTTGAGCTTGGCATCAAAAAGCCCGAGTTACTTTACGAGACAGTAGTTGAGGTATCCGAACGTATCACAGTTGAAGAATTCGACGAAGATGTCACAAGAGATAGTCGTCCGCCACTTCAGGAGATCCCTGGTGTTTTAGTAAAGGGCATCACAGGCGATATCCTGCGCATCATCCGTCCCTTAAATGAGACGGAAGTGCGAGAAAAACTAGCAAAGATCAAAGCAGAGGGTATAGAGACACTTGCTATTTGCTTAGCGCACTCATATCTCTACCCGAACCACGAGAATCGTATCGCGGAAATCGCCAAGGAGATGGGCTTTACTCACATCTCGACGTCTTCTTCGGTCGGCGCAAACATGATCAAGATGATCTCACGCGGCAGTTCCGCTTCCGCTGACGCATACCTCACACCGGAAATCATCCGTTACGTATCTGGCTTCGCAAAGGTCTTTGCTGACGGGAACCTTGACGGCGTCTCGTGCGAGTTTATGCAATCAAATGGCGGGCTAGTAAGCCACAAGAACTTCAACGGATTGAAGGGTATTCTTAGTGGTCCTGCCGGAGGTGTAGTCGGCCATGCTAGAACGTCGTTTGATGGAACCTCTCCGATCGTCGGCTTCGACATGGGTGGTACGAGTACGGATGTCTCCCGTTATGGGGGCTCTTTCGAGCACGTTTTCGAGACGACGACTGCCGGAGTCTCAATCCAATCCCCGCAGCTCGATATTAACACAGTGGCTGCTGGTGGTGGTTCTATGTTATTCTGGAGGGATGGACTCTTTAAAGTTGGACCTGATAGCGCGGGCGCTCACCCAGGGCCGGCTTCGTATCGGAAAGGGGGGCCACTTACGGTATGTCATCTTCCACATCACATCACATCACATCACATCTCCAGTCTCACACAGAAATACCTTCCTAGAGAGTGTAAACTAAGCATAGACTTCATTAAAACACCGAAACCCTCCATTTATTCGAATAGAAGAATATTGACTAATAATTAACTCAGGTTACCGACGCAAACCTATTCCTTGGGCGATTAATACCCGATTATTTCCCTAAGATCTTCGGTCCCAGTGAAAGTCTTCCACTCGATATCGATATCGTGGTGCAGAAGTTTGAGGAGCTCACAGCACAGATAAACGCGGACACTGGACGTTCGATGACCCCTCTCGAGGTTGCTCACGGCTTCATCGACGTAGCAAATGAGTCTATGAACCGCCCTATTCGCGCGCTTACGGAGGCAAAAGGCTTCGAAACTCAGCAACACGCACTTGCAACGTTTGGCGGTGCCGGCGGCCAACATGCCTGTGAAATTGCAAAGAAGTTAGGCATCAAAAGGATCGTGATCCATAAATACTCAAGTATTCTCTCAGCGTACGGTATGGCGCTGGCGGAAGTTGTTCAGGAGGCGCAAGAGCCTAGCTCGGAAATTCTGTCTGAAGAATCCCTGGGTCGGCTGATGGTCCGGATGCAGGACCTCAAAGCGAAGGTTACCGAAGGGCTCCTCCTGCAAGGAATTCAAGAGGCGGCCATCGAATACGAACAGTACCTAAACTTGAGGTATCAAGGCACCGATACTAATTTCATGATCTTGGCTCCTGTTGACGGGGACTGGAGAGCAGCGCTTGAAAAGGAACATCTAAGAGAGCTGTCATTCGTTTTCCCTCATGATAAGAAAGTCCACATTGACGACGTGCGAGTACGGGGTGTTGGGAAGAGCACTGAAGTTAGCCATGACAATTCGAAGCTGGTGAAGGAGTTGAAGTCTAACTTCTCAGAAGTCAAAGAGGGTGAAGACAGAACTGTAAGGTCACCATATAACCCCAGTTCCGGCAGCAAAATCAACGTCGATTGACATATCGCTATGTGCTTTACTAACATTCCATAGACACAAGCCTACTTCGCAGAAGGCGGACTACAGCCGACGAAAGTTTTCCGGCTCAATGCGATAACCCCGGGAAGTATTGTAACCGGTCCGGCAATAATCATCGACAACACACAAACTATAGTGGTCGTTCCAGGATCCCAAGCACGAGTCCTGACTTCTCACGTCGTCATTAACCTAATCGATGAAAAGCCTCGGCAGTCCCAAGAAGAGCAGGAGCTAGTAGTAGATCCCGTCAAACTTAGCATCTTCGGCCACCGATTCATGAGTATCGCGGAGCAGATGGGAAGAGCTCTTCAAAAGACTAGCGTTTCGATCAATATCAAGGAACGGTTGGATTTTTCATGCGCCATATTCAGCCCGGATGGTCAGCTCGTTGCTAATGCGCCTCACGTCCCTGTTCATCTTGGGAGCATGTCGTATGCCGTTAAATATCAACATAACCTCCATAAAGGCAATTTGCGTCTGGGAGACGTGCTAGTCACTAACCATCCGGAGGCTGGCGGCACTCACCTTCCAGGTAGGGTCCACGTTATTATAACCACTTGACAATTCTAACAATAGACAGACATCACGGTAATCACCCCTGTGTTTGATACGGATGGAGAGACTATTTGCTTCTACACGGCCTCTCGTGGTCACCATCTAGATATTGGTGGGTACCGTGGAAATTCCATGCCACCGTAAGTAATGTTATACTAAATTGGCTTAATCCACAATTATTGACACCTGGATAGCGACTCAACCGAGCTATGGCAAGAAGGCGCTGCCATCAAGTCTTTCTTCCTGGTCCGTGACAATTATTTCGATGAAGATGGCATTGTTAAGATCCTCCTTGAGCCTGGGAAGTATCCTAATTCTAGCGGCTCGAGGCGTTTGGCCGATAACTTGTAAGTCCTCTATACTTCACATGCAAACATCACAATATTAAAGCAAATACGGCTCTACTTCTAAAATTGTAGATTGTATCAACATAAAGGCTAACCTGTGGCTATAGGTCAGACCTCAAGGCACAAGTGGCCGCAAATACCAAGGGAAGTAATCTCATCAAGGCCCTAATGGAAGAATACGGCAAACACACCGTCCACTTCTACATGACCAAGATCCAGGAAAACGCTGAGGTCTCCGTCCGCAACTATCTTAAGTCTGCGTACAAGCGATACGGATCAAAACCCCTCAAAGCAAAGCAATTCCTGGATAACGGATCCATGATGAAAGTCTCAATAACTATCGACGAGAGCGGATTTGGCACCTTCGATTTCACGGGCACGTCCTGTGAGATGTTATCAAATATGAACGCGCCTCCAGCTATTACTTACTCAGCGTTAATCTACACACTCCGACTCCTGATCGGTTCCGATATCCCACTAAATCAGGGATGTCTCGCACCAACCAAAGTCATCCTTCCCAAGAACTGCTTCCTGAACCCCTCATCAGGACCAGCCGTCTGCTGCGGAAACACACTTACATCGCAACGATTAGTTGATCTTCTTCTCAATGCCTTCCGCGCAGCATCCGGATCCCAGGGCTGCATGAACTGCTTCGGCTTCTTCGGCAACTGCGACACCGACTCGGGCGAACCGCAATCTGGCTTTGGGTTCAGCTACGGGGAGACGATCTGCGGCGGCGAGGGTGCGGGCCCGACGTGGCACGGCGCATCGGCTGTGCAGATCCACATGACCAACACGCGGACCACCGATGTCGAAATCATCGAGAAGCGGTACCCCGTTCTAGTACGCGAGTTCTCGATCCGCAAGGGAAGCGGTGGGCGCGGGAAATACAACGGCGGATGTGGCGTCGTCCGGGATTGGGAATGTCGCCATCCGCTGACGTTTGGCTTGATCACGGAGCGTAGGGTCCATAGGCCGTATGCGATGATGGGCGGCGAGCCCGGGGCGTGCGGTGCGAATTATTGGGTCCAGAGGCTGGAAGATGGGAGTGAAAGGTGGGTAAATATTGGGTCGAGGGGGCAGGTTGATATGAAGAAAGGGGATCGGTGCGTTATACATACCCCCGGAGGAGGTGGCTGGGGCGTGCCGGAGGGTGTTGAGGATGATGAAGATGATTGGTTTGACGGGAGTGTTGGAGGGGTGAATGGTGTTAACGGGAATGGGATAAATGGGACGAATGGGGAGGCTAAAGTTGTGTACCCGAGAGCGGCGGGGAGCTTTCACACGTTTGCGGCAGCGCAAGAGGCGTCGTCTTGAGTTACGGATGATTCATGATTGGGAAGACTTGAAAGTTGGTACATATCATCATCATATGCTTTCAGTCTTTAGTCAGGATTGGATAGGAAATATTGCTATGATAGTATCTTATCTTGCGCCCTTGCATTGGTGCTTTAAGAAAACCAGGGAGCGATATTCCCCAGTTTGCTTTCTATTATCCCTTTCTATCAGTCTATTGAATATATATCAATTCATAGCCCTATACCTACCGGTTCAACCCGAGGCAAGGAGGCATGCGAATAGCTGTAGTTACTGTCTCCCGAAAACAACCCACCAGCATTCTATTCCCGAATCCTCACCGTCCTCATCCCAGTCATCTTGGCCAATTAAGGTGTGCTGCTCTAGCACGCTTAACCCAGAGACAATCATAATGGACAGGAATTTTGCAGCCAGTTTCTTAGTAGTCAAGTCTCGCTGAGGTACCATTACAATGGCCCTGGCATCTTTGTCTTGGGCTAGGTGCGCAACTATCGCAGACGATAGCAGCTCTGGGTGATCGTCGTCGTACAGAGGATCTGCGGCAAGAACAATCTATACCTCATTAGTTATCAGGAGTATATGGGAGATAGAATTGGTTTACTTTGAATTGGTTCTTGGAATCAAATCGCTTGGCGTTACCGTCTTCAGAGCCCCAAATTAAAACACCCGAATCAACCTTCCCTCCCAGGGCCTCGATAGTGGGCCTGTTTCTTTCGATGTTGTAGGCTAGGTTGGGTACGATGGTTGGGAGGTCGGTCAAGACCACGCTGGTTTGCCAAATAGCAGCGGCAGCCATCCCCAAGAGCCCTGTTCCCGAACCCAATTCTAGAACATCTAGGGATTCATTCGAACGTCCCAAGTTGAGTATATGGGAGAGTGACTCCTTCGCAATACTACCTAGCGACTGTGCGAGCAGATATGAAGAACCCCAGGTTTTCAAGCCGAGGGAGTCGCCGGTAATAGGAGGTTCCCGGATGACTAGCTCAAAAGGAGATGATCCTTGATCTTCAAGAGGCCATCTTCGCGTGATCTCGCCCATTCCCGCTCTACCGCAGCGTTCTGCAAGGCGCCGGCTTGCCTCATCCCACACCGCCTCCTTCTCGTCTTCGTCCTGGATCCACGCAAGACTGCTCTTGATTATGCTAGACAGATACGCAGCAACCTCACGGCGGAGCTGGGCAGCATTTTGATAATTTTCTAGTATAACTTTTCGAGAAGTACCAGGATTCCAGATCGGAGGTTCAACCTAGTTCAGAGTGAGCACCTACTAGTCTCTTTGGTAGACATTGCTACTCGTCGGGTTTACCTGAAGCTGTTTGAGAGCTGTCAGCAGTTCCTTGGACGAGGGCTTCTGCCAGGTCTGGGGGAAGTCTGCTACGCAGACCGACATTTTATTCTATTAATCGCGGAGGATACGGTTTATAGGATTCTAGAAAGGGAAAACACAAGGAGAAACCGAATTAGGTAAAGCAGTAGCACACACAAAAAAGATATGACTCGGACCTGTCACCTGAAGAAAGACATTATGATGGCTCTATAGAGATCGTTAGTTGACATGGTCTATAAGATTTCGTTTTCTATCGTCTAGGGGAAGTAATGGGAGGATGAGCAAGATTTCGACCGTGTACCGGTAATAGCATATAATGGATGAGTCTAGCCAGGCATGCCTACGATAAACACAACTGCCAATTAGGGACAAACGGGGCTTTTCTGACCAAGACCTTCGTTGGAAAGGGAAAGAGAAATGGAAAGAAAAAAAAATAAGCCACGTCTAGACCCTTAAAAGATTCAGCCAATGAGGTTAAGGGCATGTTCTTATGAGTCAACATTGTACATATGTACATAGAGCTTAAAATGATTTAGCTTTAATTAGCTCAAAGGAAGTACCTAGGCAGATTACCTAATGCTTGCCTAATTTTAATTGGCTGCCCGCTAGCTTTATCGATAAGCCCACCATAATTTTGCTATGACTCGAAAAAGCAGCCCGCCGAAATTCATTCTTGCTTCCTTTCTTTCCTCAAGCATCGCCCTCACCAACGCTGCGTTTCTGAGCTACAAACAGAGAAGCCGCGCGAGCTGCTTCTCATCGCGTTCTGTCTTCAGACCGATATTTGCCCCCGCTCATGAGAAATTCGGAGTATTCTTCATCACCACCTCGTCGCCCGCCCAGTTGCGGGATCGACAGGTCTGCCCGCGAGGGTCTGGCGTGATGGTTTTATTAGTACACGTCTGCAAGACTGGCATCAGAGACGCAGGGCCCTTCACCCTGTGTATATCCGCAAGGAGAAGACGGGGGAGTTGTGGTTCCTATGGGAGAGCCGTTGCGGAGATTGTGTGTGAGAACACTTGAGTGCGATACGCAGCGTGGGATTGTCTGTTTCTTTCGGGGAACGGGCGCCTACAATTCGATTCCGATTACTCTGGTGAGGGCGATGCTTCACTCTTTTTCCCCTCAAGGTTAGTCTTTGTACTACTGCTAATGTCGCATTCCCCTAAGTCGAGGATACTGCTAACGAGACGTCATATTGCCATCGAGAAATAATCGCGGCGACAGAATTGAGAAGCGTTTCTGCTATTCGTCTGGGTCTATCCTAACGTAACACTCGGGCTCTCATCATCATTACCCTCCTCATACGTCTCTTGATCGGGTATTTCCTGCTCCTGATATGTTGCTTCGCCTGTGACCGGACCTTTATCTTCTCCTTCGCATGAGGTCTTCATAATTTCCCTCTTATCAAACCGATGTAGGACCTTGGCATCTGGATTTCTCGCGTCTACCAGCTTCTCCAGGTCCGACGCCTGCGTGACCAGATCTGCACAAGCAATATTACTAAACATGGACTTCCCAGCCAATAGTAGAATGCGATCGCCAGTTACCTGAATCTTCTCTAAGGCGAGGTGCCGAGGATCGTGATCAGAGGGGCTACCCAGTGGATGAGATTGAACGAATGCCTTTGCAGCCTCTTTGACATGATCTAGGCATATCTCCAGCTTCATCTTCTGAACGGTGAACTGTTCGTCGTCTTGGTTATCGCCATTCTTGTACTTGCTGTTGTATTCAGTCCTCTTCTGCCATATCCGCTGGAGGACATCATCATTGACGTAATACTTGACCGCCTTCACTTCTGCTTCGAACTCGTCCTGAAATGCGATCCAGAATCTCTTACTCTCTTTGATCTGAAATGCCAACTGTCTGGCAGCGAGCGAGACTTTCAACTCTGCGCTAATAGCCGTGGTGGTCTCCTCCTTAGAAGCTGTAGGGGCAGGAGTGATTGGACGGCTCCCTCCTGAGGCTTTACCTCTCGACCTTGATGATGACTTGAACCGCGTTATTGGTTGATCATCGGCGGGTTTTCCATGGTGATCGTGGTGATCATCTGAATCGTTGCCGTGATAGCCACATGGGTGTTGAAAGTACAAAGTTCCGTTTGGGCTATACGACTCTGATTTTGACGAATGTGGACGGGAGAACGAAAGAGGCATACTGTCTATGTGCACTCCTCCCCGTCGATTATAGGAGGACCGTCGTGACTCTCCATCGTCAATGTCGCTTCCAGAAGGCTTTCCCATAATGTATTCAGGAACAATACTATTCACATTGCAGAAACTTAACGTATCCAATGGGCTTTCAAGGCGATCCTCTTCTATTTTGTAGCTTGGGGGGTTTGCTAAAAGGTGCTAGCGCTAGCTCCATTATACACACAATGTGATGCTTGTTATTTGTTTATACACTGCACTTCTATTTCTAATAAGCGGTTCGGGAACATATGTCACGAGCTTTATGTATAATATCAATATTCACATAGTTAATTCTTATTTGACAATTCGGCAATAGGTATTTGCGCCAGTGAGGGGTATTGACCAATGCCTATATAGTTTAGATTCCAACTGGCCGCTAACGATCTTATTCCTCCATTACTGGTGCTTATCCGTGGGGAAACCCAGGCGTATTTCACGATCCCGATCTCTACAGTTCACAAGAGCATAGTTAGTCCTAATCAAAGCTGTAGTACTTCATATACTTTATTCGATTGTCGGCAATAGAGTTATTTCTAATGTTTCGAAAAATAGCGCTGCCAAGCATGGGATACGAGACAACGGTTTTGTATGACATGTCAAATGTGGATATACGTAAGGGTACTTCACACCTACTTGACATGGTCCAAGCGCGCGCACTAGTCCATCCCGACAGTTTGGCTCGGTTGATCCCTGTGCTAACCATATTCGGTAAGAGATCTCACCAGTTGGCGGTTGCAGCGCTGACGGGGGGAGCGCACCTGAAACGAAACGAGGCGCCGCAAGACATGGGGCTGAGGTACACAGTAGGTAGATCCTACAGGCTCTTGCGGCAACCTTTGATAGGTCGGGAACTGAGGCTGAGGCTATGCTGAGGCATGAGGCATGAGGCATAACCTAGGTATTTAACTTTCAAAAACGTAATGCCACCGTACTTAATAATGCCTAAGTATGGTGGAACTTTATCGGAATATCGACCAGCGAAAAATGGTCTTGGTCTTGGTCTTGGTCTGTGCTGGGGATATAATTCGCAACGTCGCATTACTAGCCTAACCCCAGATAGTTATATATGTCGCAGTTGCGCATTACACATATAATACGCCGTCAAGACAAAAGCCTCCCTCTCACCGAAATAATTCACTCACCGATAGGAACACCTAATACGCATTGTTGTTACAACGATGCTACCCAACCGGCTTGTGACGAGTTTATTTTAGTCGCACATCTGCGATAGACTAGTAACAGTACCACGGCACGCTTGACCCAGGTGCTCGGGTTCGCGTCTGTCGTCTGTTTGGTCGTATAGGCGGGGAGGGGCAAAGGGGGTCCATGGAGTATGTGGGAAAGGGGTGGTTGTAGGAGTATTTGCTTGTCACCGATGGAGATAGTTTCTAACTTGGACAGAAACAGCGCCGTGCATTTGATGTGTGTAGCTAGCCAGGTTATGCAACTGCATGCGTCCTGATGTTTGTATACCTAATGCTTGATATTATTGTGTTAGCATAGACGCTCTATAATACACTTTGGCAACACAAGCACACACACACACACACACACACACACACACATTATTACACTTGCAGATGTTGGGCGTGGAATCATAGGTTGATTCCTAACCCACAGAGTTGGATCTCCCGATTACTTCCCTATCATCCTACTCCGTACCTTTCGACTTGCTATCTTCGATACCCAAAGTTAAGTGACGACAGCTATATCAACGCTTCGCTTTATCTGCATACATTAGACATTAGGCACATAATACGGAATCAGGTAGACATACAGGTAGTTAGTTATACAATGTACAGCAAGAACAGCTCCATAAACTGCCAGGCTGATATGTATGTGCAATGAACCGCGTCATCTGTGTAAATCTTATCTCCCACCCCCTTTCTCACCCCTATTCAATTTACACAAGCACCAAATATGCCTTGAATATCACTTCTTGGCTGAGAGGAATTACACATGTAAACACAGTCAACGTCAGCGCCCAGGTGCTCCGCCGCATCTGCGGTAGCTTTCATTACCTTTGTGTTTCCCTCTTGCCGTTTTCCGTCTACGCGTATACATCCCAAGGGGTAAGTGAATGTCTGCAATGCCTACGCATCTAGGCGTGTATGTATCATCCCGCCTCGACCTACGCTAGCCTATACTGTTAAGCGTAATCAAAACACGGCTTATTTTCAGTCTTTCAAAATTATGAAAATTCATTCCGTATGGTTCTCATACTACATTACGGAGGTATGCCCATCTGCTGACTAGCCAACAAATTCGTTGCATTTGTCCTCTGTCTGTATGCGCTGTCGTATTTAACTCAATGCATCAAATTGCAAATTCCTATACTGGGGAGTATCATATCGTCCCGACCAAAATGTCAAGGGTCAAGTGTCAAGTGTCAAATATCAAATATCCGCGCCGCTTTTGGGTTGTCCTATGCCCCATGTTCCGAATGCCGATAACCAGTAAAATCCATATGCTGTTCCCTGGGCCAATAAATGCCAGAACCCGATATTAGAAAGAAAAAAGAGGAGAAAATCAAAACGTCATCCAGATGCAAGAGCCAAACTTCGCTGAAAATGGGAATGTCCATCCTGAGTAATAGTAAAGAGAAAAAAAGCATCAAATAATCGCCACCTCTCCAAGCGCTTCCATTCATCGTAGTCGATATAAGGCGGTCTCCCTGGAAAATTCGCTTTGCCATTTTGGCTCTCTCTTTGCCCCGTGTCCAGTAAGTCCTTAATTGGACTTTGCATAATCCTAATTGGCTCGTCCCTTCCGATCGATATGCCTACGCTGAACAAGACTCGTAAAGGCGCTATTAGTATGACGCCACCGCTTGCGAGATCTCCGTCTTCATGACAGACAGTCGCTCTCGCATATCTATCAGGTCCGCCAGCTTATCCTCCGGTGGCTCCTTTAGGGCCGCAATCTCGTAGTGCAACGCCTCGTAACGCTCGTAGAATCTCGTGAACTTCTTTGCCTTTATCAAGACGTCAGGCGGCACGCGCGGCTTCTTGTTCGGGGCAGACTGCTGCGAGGAATATTGGTCGGCATCCCGCTCCTTGCGCTTCTTGGTCTGGTTCATGGTCGTAGAACTACCATTTGCTGCTCCGTTCGTAGTACGCTCCCCGTTGCGGGCCGGGGGCTTGAGCTGGCGCGTAGGCGGCTGATGATCTTCGAGGTCGGAAGCATTCGTCGGTGGCGAGGAAGCAAGTGGCGATGACTTAGTAGGTGACGTATTCTTGCTTCTCATCGAGATATTCGAAGACGTTACCCCCACGGGAGCATTTCTTGAGCTCTGGCTTGCGTCTGACGGGCGGTGCTTAAGATTGACGTTAGACAACGGCTTAGGAGGCTCCCTCGGCTTTATTCGCTTGCTAAGCGGTGCCCCTGAGCTCGAGCTGCTATCATCGTCTTCACGTGGCCGTTTCTGAGAGGCTAAGCCGGAGGGTTTCACAGGAGCGCGGGGTGCTCGAACCACGGGCTTCGCTTTCGGTGGAGCAGGCTTCTCCTTGGGCTTCTCTACCACTCTCTCCACCGGTTTCTCTACTGGCTTCTCGGTTCGTCTCTCGACAGGCCTGTCGGCTGGTTTCTCGATAGGCTTTTCAATAGGTTTCTCTATCAATTTCTCGGCAGGCTTCTTGATAGGTTTTTCGATAGGCTTCAACGATGATTGGTTCGAACTAGCTCTCGATAATGGCCTCTCATCTCCACTGCTTTCGGAGTCGATCACTTTCTCATCCGAAAGGAATTTCCTGCCCTTTTCTTCGGCTGGCTTGGGCTTGCTGGCCGGCTTTTTCGGAGCGGGTTTCTTAGGGTTGCTTGAGAATAAGCGCTTCGTCTGCGCTTCACGTTCGCTGACTTTCTTCGTCTTGCTTCCTAGCGGTTGCGAATTGGATCGAGACATAGCTTCGCCCTTTGCCTTGTTATCGACATCGCTCTTGTTGCCATCATCCGCCTTCTTCATGCCAACCCGAGGAGTTGGGGTTACGTTTCCCTTCGCAAGAGTTGCCTGTAGCTTACTCAAAACGATACCCTTGCCCCGCTCGGAAGGAGTAAGCAGTTTCTCCCATTCGACTGCAGATGTTGGAATGCGTGATTTGTCGTATTGCCTGATGGCATTGTCGATTGCCGCGCGGCGATCGTCCTCATTGCGATAATCGTAGTTCCATACGTCCAGCTCCTTCCAGAACACCGGTCGCAAGCTGTATTTTTTCGTGGATGAGTCAAAATTGGCGATCTTCTCTACAGTTCGCTTGAGGTCTGCTTCGGCGCCCTTCCAAATATCTGTGAGATACTCGTATGTTCGATCTCTCGACGCCAGTTCGTGAACAAGAATACTTCTTTGGTTCTTGTTCTTCTCGAGTAGCTGCTGCGAGGCGGAAAAGGCTGGGTTCGGCGAAGAAACTCCGTTGAGCGCGGGACTCGTCGGTAGTGATCTGGTGGAAGAGTTCGATAATGCGCCCGCCATAGCGGACCTTCCAGCAGGTAGAGGCTTGGGTTTAGTGACTCGCTTAGTGTCTTTGGTTTTGGCGTTGGTGGACCTGTTCGCCAGGATACTGGCGGGTGGCTTGCTGAGAATACACATAGTAGGATTTGGTAATCGTTGTGCTTTGCTTGCCGAGTCTTCTGGTTTCGTGAGATACAAGTCGTAGTTGTATGACTGCGGATTTGCTTTGACTTTTTGTTCCCCCGAACCGAAGATTAAGCTCTGTAAAAAGAGAATTGTGTTAATTTTAATAGTGAAGGTAATTTAATCGAGAAAGCGTGCAAGTTTGTATAGGTATGTGCACATAGGTTTTTTTTTTTTTTTTTGGTTTTTTTGCTACCTGGGGCTGGTAAAGTGCGGGAAGGTGTTGCGCAGCGCAGACCTGAGGTATTCGGGTAGAGGGCATTCAAAGTAACTAATTTGATGCACCTCACGACCATTTCCGCTTATCCAAAATAAAAATGGCAAGAAGTAAAACAAAACTAAGTACAGCAGAAAACTTACAGGATTACTTCCTAGGGTCAATTCAACCTCTTGCCCCCCTTGTACACATTTTATCATGTCCTCGATCACGCTATCATTCAATGTGATGCCGAAGGCTTGCAACGGGAGGTATTCGTTCGAAGTTGCCGAGCTCTCCAAGAGGAGGCCGGCATCGGGAATCGCGAGGGCTGGCATGGCGAAATAGTTCGGTATAGGTCGACGATATGAGGAAGGGGTATGGTGAAAAGAATTGAGGATATCTGTATGCCGATACTACGAGGTTAAGTATTGACAATGATGATATGGTATGGTATGCCGTATGGTTGTTGTCGAGGAGAGACAC